TTTGTGGTGTATAATGCTGCCTGTATTGCTTAACAATGCAATAGACAAAGTGAAAGGAAGGAGAAGAGCTACTGACTAACATTTTTTGGATCAGGTTTAGTGACAGTAATAGATGTGACATCACTGCAGATGTGCAGTTTGGGAAATACTGCACCAATCGGAAATCTGTCAATGACTCAGGATAAAAAATACCAAGGCAGGCAGGCAGGCAGGCAGGCAGGCAGGCAGGCAGGCAGGCAGGCAGGCAGGCAGGGAAACACACACAGTCAGCAGCGTTTGGACTCATAATACCTGTGACGTGATCTAAACTGTTTATTTTTAACTTTAAGATAAAAACAGACAGGGAATCCCCAATCACTAGGAGGTCAACTATTCTATTCTTTAAAAGAGTAAAGGCATCAACAAAAACTGGCTTTCTAAGCAGAACCCCCATCCAGTGTGTTTCCATTACAGACACACAAGGACTCGGTTGTGTGTTCGTGCAGGAAAGCTGAGACGAGGCGTGCCTCATGGCTGAACTAAAGAGAGGGTGAGGAAAATAATGTCCCATGCAAACACTGGTCTCCAAGGTAACACCAAGTAGACTCGTCGCTCTGACTACCTGGCATGGAGCAGGAATAGCGAAGTCCAAGAAGCAACAACAAACAGCCGATTCATTACAGACGTTAGTCTAAAACAATCTACTAATATCAATTGCATTTCACAGAAGAAAAAGGGAAAAAAATGCATGAAATAATACAAAAGAAACACAAAGATTATTTAATGGTATTATTTTCAGGGGTAATTTAATGACTGAGAACTTATTTAGCAAGGAATTTAGAGGGATCCTGAAAAGATCTGTTCATCCACGGATAGGAGCTTATTTCCACAGCATCCGCTCTTATCCGAGACTTTATTTTCACTATTGATTAAATGAATCAATCTGAAAAAGCTCTTACCATTTTCTGTAAGTGCATCAATAAAAGCATGTTTTTTTTGTGCATAAATGGGGATCACCTTGTTTTTCTTTATGTAAATTTAAAGAACCAATGGGCACCTCACGTACAGTTTTCTCTAAAATATTAATGCTTTTTCATACAAAAAAAATAAATAAAAGAACTATCAATCAGACTATAAAATAAACAGGAAACCATTAATGCCCAGGAAGTTCAGTTAATCTCTGATTCTCACTCTTAACCCAGTGCTTACAAACATCAGTGGGGAATCGGATCTGGTTAAGCACTTTGTAAAAGAGCAAAGAGGATTAATATAAAGGTGCATCTTTATTGTAAAGCTACCAAAAAAGAAGTAAAGTTGTGCCCAAAAGTGAAAAATCAAGTTGACAAAGCTTGTATGACATAAATCACATGACCTGCAGACCATTTGTTCTGCACTGCTTCAGTATTTGATCCCTTCCATTTTTAGCTATAAATAACATTTGAAAAAGGATGTTGACAAAGCATATAAAAACAAAATAACTGTTCAGATAGTGGCAAAGTGGTCAGGAGAAAAAACATGGCGGAAAACAATTAGGAATGTAAATACCAACACATTCACAGAGCCTTGTCTTTATGCTTCAGGAATGAGTCAGAACCCTGACTAACATAAAAAGGGCAAAGTCTCTCTGAATAAGAGATTGAAAAAATAAAAATAAACTATGTTGGTTAAAAATGGGTAAAGGTTTTAAGTCAAAGAAAAACAAGATAAAGTTATTACTGAGGTTTCAGTCACCAAATAAAGGTACAAATTATTTAAAGCAGCCTGGCAGCCAAAATGGAGAAGACGGAAACTTTGTTAAAGCCTAGGTGAACAATGTGCACTGTACAGTTCCTTTATGCAAAGCAGATAGAAGCAGTGACGTTTTGTTAAATATACCAGGCTGATAGGGAACAGTAAAGGGACTTTTAATGTGGTGCTCTCTATACATACTCATAAAAATACATCTCTGCACTGGATGCATTGCTGTGAGTAGGTTTTCACTTGATTTTTAGAAATTACGTTTTTTTTTTAATACTACATTTACTATTTCCATTATTCAATTAAATATAATCCAAGTTATAATGTGTAGTAATCCTCTACGTTTAGTTTAACTTTAATGTAGTTTGTGTTGGGGTTTTTCTCTCTGTGAATAATAATAAACTTTAAAATTTTATAAAAAATTAAAACTTTAAAATTTTATTCATCACTTTATTATTTATGATTTTTTATTTCCATGCTTATTCTAATTGAGTTCGTAATGTATTTGTTTCATTAGATATCTGTAAACTGCTGCTTTTATTGTATGGAAAGCACTTTTTGGTTTCACAAGAGCTCTATGAGAAAATGCTGTTCTTTCCTAATTGATCGGCTGGTGATGCAGACCAGGAATGACTAAGCTGAAAGAGGGAAGCTGGAGTTTGCGCTCACTGTGTGTTTAGTTCATATTTATTATGTTACAATAGAGCGTTGTATTATGATTTACATCATTTGCGTTTCATGTGGGAGAAACAGTTCAACTGAAAGCATCAGTATACGAGTTATTGTGACAGAAAATACAGCAGTTATGAAGTAGACTGACAGATAAACAGTAGTTCGTTTAATAAAACCAATAAGCGAGATTCTACAAGTGTTCATAAATCCGGAATTTTAGCTTTTTAGCTCTCAAGTTAGCCGCTAGAAGCTAACTCCTCTGGGTGCGGCAACTAAGTTAAATAAAGAAAGCCAAGCGTAACGTATATTCTATTCGTCTAAATTTTTATTGTAGCTAATTTTTTCTGCCTTTCAGTCGGTTTTTACCTCAGTAGGATTTCCAGAGAGCTCTCGTGTTTATCGAGCGGCCTTCCCAGAGCGCTCTTGCGAAGCTTGTTCAACTCCTCCACGGCTCGAAGGTACTCTAACTGCTCCTCGCCAGATGGATAAGAGGCTGTGACGAACTTCGACAGCGGCTTCACCAGGTCCACTTCGGATGACTTTTTTAACGGGACTGAAATAAACGTTGCCATTTCGGCCCGTGACGACTTTAACCGAGCTAAGAATCAGGCACAGAAATCTTGGGCAAGGAACACAAACAACGGCCACCGACCCACTTCCTGGATACTGACAGAGGACGTCAATTACGTCATGGACAACGGTAAGCGAAACTGCGCAGACTCGGAAATGATTCCCTACTTCTTCTTCTTGAGATTGTTTATGGTGGTTGGCAAAAAAAACAAACAAAAAAACTGCCAATTTTTCCAACAAGAATATTTCTTCTGCAATTGAAGTCCGTTGGGCCTTTGTTAGTATTGTTTCCTTTCTCCAGTTCCTGGTGATGGCTTTCTTGGCTTCTACCTGAAGTATTGTAATTAGATATTCATCATGGCTGTTATACTGCACCATACAGCTCTTTTGTATTCCATAACTAAATTTGTATACATTTCTATATTTCTATATATGTACAAATTTCTATAAATTTGTCTTACATTTCCAAAAGATGTGAGAATGACCTTCATTAAAAGATCCACATCATTGCCTAAATTTCTGTCGGCTGTTTACTCTTAATTTTTTGTGTGATGAAAAATCGGATCATATTCTTCCATGTAAATTCCCTCCAGATTCGTGAATTAGGGGTTGAGTGATTAAACTTCCACATTTGGTGCCACTCCTCATCTGTAAGTTATATACAGAGTTCCTTCTTCCATTTGAAATTAACATATTCTGTTAAATGACTATTATTTGCAATCAATCGTTGATGTACTGAGATAAGTCTAATACTGCTGTACTGATATGCTTTAACAATAATTTGTATGACTACATTCACACCTGTGTCTTACTTGATGTCTTTTTTATAATAGTCCCTTACTTGGAAATATCTACAGATTTCCAGTGAACCTAGTTTATATTTTTTCCTTAGGGTTTCAAAGCTTTCCAAATCTCCATTTTTTTCTAACATACACCAGGCTGTCGTTGGAAATGCCTTTATTTCCGATTAAATTTTGCTGGGAAAAAATTACTATCATAGGTCATCAGTCTTAAAATTCTAGCATTATTCTGAATCTTGCACTTTTATAAATTTTTAAACCACAGATCTAGAATATGTGTTGTAATTATGTCCATGTTTAACATTTAGGGTTATATATAAATATCTCCAATCTTGTGTTGTATAGTGATTAGCTTTACATCCTTTTCTATTTCTTTCCACTTAGCTTTCTGGTTTATACCAGCAATATATGCTGGGTGGCGAAGTAATAGTTCATCAAATTTGGGAGACCCATACCGCCTTTTCCTTTGGAACTGAAGAGTTTATTGCCTGACCCTGGGTTTTTTTTTTTCCCTCCCACACAAACGTGAAATCATTCTGTCCCAGTTTATGAGCTGATCTGGAAGCATATTTATCGTCAGGGATGAAAATGTAAAGGAATGTGGGCACTATATTTAATTTGATTACCGGAATATCAATTCTTGAATTTAAATCCAATGGTAAGGTAGAATATCTCATATCTTTCCGAACCTCTTGTTTTAGCTTTTCATAATTTGCACTGTATAAAACAAAAAGTTTTTTGATAAAAACACCGAAATATACAACTTATACTTTATTTAAATCTCCCTTGATGGTTTATAATTGACGGCTAAGATCTGGGCTTTAGATACATTGATTATATCCTGAGTAGTAGTTATAAAGATTGAGTAATTATCAGATTAGGGAATGATGTGATTTCTTGGAGGTAGGCAAAGACTCCCAACTTTAATTTTTTTCTTTTTGTCCGATGGCCTGTGCTAAAGGTTCTATAAATATGGCAAAAATAAATGGTGATGAATAGCATCCCCGCCTAGTCGATCTCTGCAGTAATATTTTGTTAAATTACCATTATTCTTATTCTTTCAGGAGGATTTTGGTATAATTTTAATGAATTGCACAGATTTATTATTGAAACCAAAAGGTTCCAACACTTGAAAAAGTTCCAATTAACACAATCAAATTCCTTTTCTGCATTAATACTAAACAAAGACCTTGATCTAAGCATTGTTCTTGATCAAAAACAGGCAGGACACAGAACAAAGTTATGAAATTATTTATTCCCAGCACATGTGGTTGTGTACATCTCCAGCATATGATACTGTGCACATGAGAAGCATCAGGTTAACAGTGGTCACCTCTTTCTGGCTCGTGCTCACACAGATGGCAGAACTCAAGGTAATGCCTTCTGTAGACTAAATTTTCCATTCTTTTTACATCCATCTTTATTCTAATTAGTCAGATGAACACAGGTTTCTCTGCCGTAGCACTCATGTCTATATAAACACCTCAAGAGCTACAGTCTTGGCTCTGGTGCATGTCAAGACACAAACAGCTGCTTTCAAAGCCTTAAGAGTTTTGGCGATCTCTTTCTGATCTAGTTAGAAAAGGATGTTGAGGGGGAAGGGGTGTAGGACTACTGACTACACATCGAGCTAGAAGTTTGTGATTTTCTTCAGTGCAGGCTTGGTCTCTAATGTATGGAAAAATAACGAGGGGGAAAGAAAGGGGATACACTCAGTGACAAATTTTATCGGTCTCTCAAATATCCACATGCTCTTCTTCACTACGTAGCAAGCTAAACACAACTTCTTTTACTAACAGAAAAAAAAAGTTTCAGACATAATGAACAAAAGGATACACATGCACACACACATTCTGACACCTTCACATGTAAACCTCTTCAAAAATGCCAAAACGGATCAAACTGGAAGCAAAGCAGAGCCTCCAGAGTCGCAAGGTTTTCTTTCACTTTTCAGTAAGGCCACTCTAAACACATGACATGTATGTTCTGTGCTAGGGTACACCACCAACCTTTTATTTTGTAATCAAAAAGTGGCATATTACCACTGTCCTGCTGCACACAGGAGCATCTGAGTCATTTAGAAAAATCAATCATGGAGAACATTTCTGCCAGAAATCATAAAGTGAAACTCCGATTCATTAAACAGAGACATATTCCAACTCTGATAAACAAGGCTTACATCCACTGAAACCATAAATTTCAAATTCTCAGAATACAACATTAGACCAAAAGAAAAAAAAAAAAAAAAGTAGGGGGTTGAATACACAAGTTTAATGTTATGGCCATTTTATGGTCCACACAACCAAGTCATTGAAACCCTAAAGAAGCTGGCTAATTGTAGAGCCGTAGTTACGTGTATTTATAAAAAGTTGAGTGGAAGAAAAAAAAAATACTTAAAGTGCAAAAGTACATTCTTGAGAATATTGTGAAGCCATGCTTAATCGAGAGTTGAGACATTTTTTAAGATGTTGACTGCAGCTAGACTCACTTCTAAGAGTCACCTCCAAAAGATGTACCTTGGAGATGAAGGCAAGCTTCTCTTAAACCAGATATGGCAGAGGCATTTTCTCTAGATGTAGGAGAAAGAGGTCTGATTGCTTAGTGGTCCAAAGTCCTTTTTTATGTTAAAGAAAATGCTGCATTTAATTTAGCTGTTAAAATGAGGTGAAAAAGTGGTAAGGAGCAGGAACTAAGTTGGTTATGGGTCAGAAAGGTTCAATAGTGATGATCTGAAGCAACTCGTCTAACTTCAACAACCCCTCCTCTCTTTCTTCCACTAAACTTTCCATGAACACGTCCGGATGCAGCCCTCTGAATAGTCAGCTTTTAAAGCAGTGACCTATTGTAGCTTACCCTCCTCATAGAGGGCATTAGATTCTACCATCAAGATTTGAACCTGACTGCATAGGCCTCAACATTTCTGAACTTGGTGGGGATGAAAAAAACAAACATTGGTCTTGTGTAATACTTCAGTTTTCTGAAAAACTGGATTTTTGGTCATAAAAAAAAAAAAGAAAAAAACATTTCAAATGGGGTGGGAAGAGAGAAAAAAAAAGATCACTGTTTAATGGTCTGTATGAAGCTGTATCTTTTCAAATCAATTACCTAAACTAATTATTCAATGATTTGTTAATCACCTGATGCATAATGCTTGCTTTAAAACTGATCTGGAATCAAGGTTTAGGCACCAGTGCAAATTTAGCTGTTTAACTCCCCCTACTTCTTTACCAGTTTAAACTCCTAACATTTGCACAAATTCAAAGTTCACTGTGGTTTATTTCCTCTCAGAGCACGATTATCAGTCATTGCCTATTTGGTCCACTATAAAGTATGTTTTTTTCCTTTTTCCGGGATAGGCACTAATGCTCCATTGGACAGCATCACAGAGGGGTTTTATCTACCAATTTCCTATTCATTTCTCCAGAATTCTGTAAACCAGTGTTTTAATAAAAACAGAGGAGTCAAATAATGACGTTAATGTACTCTGTGTATATTTTGGAATAAAAAGCTAAGCTAATGAGCCTGTATGGCACCAGAAAGGGTAAATTCAGTAAGAGCAACAGAAAGAGCTGACTCAAAGGATTAACTAAAAGCTGTAAAAGCACAGGCCATATGGACGTACATTAGCTGAGCTTCAAAGAGACGTTATGCAGACAGATATATGGCTGTAAGCTTATATCACAAAGTGTGAGACTAGGTGATATTAGCTCATAAAATTATTTAACAAAAAAAGCCAAAAGATGAGAGCACTTCCACCCATTTACCCTGAATATTCTGAGTTAACACGCTCAGCCAATTAGAGAAAGGTTAATTAAGACATCCCTGTCAAACAATGTTAAGTAAGCAGAGTAAGTTTCTTTTTCAAGCAACTTGGTATGGATTGCATGCTGTTCAGCAGTACAGTTTCATCAAATACTGGCCTAACGCTGGTTGTATAGGAAGGGCAACAAGCAATAAGGTGACTTTTTTACTTCCTGCTGTCTCTTGCATGCCAAAGCACCATCCACCCCTCTCCCTTGGAGCCTGCACCCTCCCATTTCCACACAGAAACCATATATATTTATATATATATATATAAAAAAAAATAAATCAAAATACACAGAACAATGTCAAATACCCCCCTGATCTCAAATCCTCCCCAATCTCTACGTTGTAACTGATCTCCTTCATTTAATAATGTTTTCAATATGAAACAGAGGTCACACCCATGTCAGATTCTAACATTTACTTGGCTTTAGCGCAGTCACTGCGCTCCATCGAGTGATCGTTAAAGAGAGACGGGGAGGATGCAGAGCGACAGAAGGAGGCTTCTGTTTCAAAGCAGAGCGTGGAGTATTAGTGACGCCATCTGTGCTCCTCACTACTTCAAGATTAGATGAATTCCTTCGCCCAACTCATCTGTAAGAGAAGAACAGTAAATCCTCAAATACAGACGATGTGGATTGCTACCAGAAGCTGTTTTATTACTAAAGCATGTGTTTACCTTTGACAGTGCTGATCAAAAAACAGCTCTCATCAGACAAGTTGTAAACCATCTAAAAGGAAAAACAAAAATGCATCAAATGTGAAATTTGACTTTAATGTGTGCCAATATTCTGTAAATACGATTTCCAAGTGAGGCAATGTTAGAGAAATCCAAGAAAATCTGGTAATGGGATAACAGCAGGGATTATTATTATTATGGATAGCAAATCAGAGAGATGTGTGGTTATTTTATTGCCTGAATCCAAAAACAGAAAGTTCATAACTGCTCTAACTGAGCTCTGTTTAACCTGGCTAATAATTTAAAATAAGCACAAGATCTAGACAGAATTCATCTTATATCAAATTTTTGACCAAGTTTAGTTACCTTTAGTTATAACTAATCCACCTCATGTTCTTTGGAGTGCATTTCCTGTTTTTGCTTTTGTGCAGCAATTTGGTCCCTTTGGTTTTTTGAAGTGCTATAAGGCTGGCATGGGCTGGATTGACTAGCCATTTGTGTCAATAGTGAGATAAGTGAAACTAGGTAGTAATGTGACAACCATAAAAGTCAGGATAAGGGGAAAAAACCAAAAAAAAAACTCTTCACTAATTTTTATGCAGTCTTTCTTGGGAAACTAAGGCTGTGACTACATGCCACAGCAATGATAGCTCCACAGTCACAAATTCTGTTCTTAAAAAACAAAAACCATACAAACAAACCCCCCCCCTTTCCATCCCTGCTTCTGTTTTATTGAACCCCAGTCAACCTCGGCAGATGGCCTCTCAGACTGAGCCTGGTTCTGCTGGAGTATTCGTTCCATTAAAAGGAAGTGTTACTCCCTACTGTCGCTACAAGCATGCTTGGTGTTAGGGATTGCTGTAGAGTCAATGACTCCATACAATCAGTTGGTTTTCCTCAGACAACTTTGAAGCAATCCGACTGCATGATCTGATTGAATAGTCTCTGTAAAGTGCCTTTAGATGACTTGTGTTGTGAAGTAGTGCTATATAAATAAACTGAATTGAAATATTTGCAGCGCTTCCTGAGTAACTACAAAGACTGTTGGATGCAGTGTAGTTAAAAAACTTGAAATTTACTTTGGGTTTATGGAAGTATGGACTCATGTTCTAATCGAGTACGTTCTTGTTAAGAATGCAGGAAGTATGGACAGGAGCATACAGGACATATGTGTAAATTGAAACAGAAGCGTACTCATGAAATCACCAGACGCACGGACCTGCTTTTCACCACCTGTTACTAACATTCTCTAGGTAATAATAAATCATAACATTTCCGCCCCATTTAGTTGAGGAATAATGATTAACACAGACAAACAAAAGGAATATTTTACCAAATAAAAAAAACCAAACAAAATAAAAAACGCATCAGAGCTGGCAGCTTTTCACAAAAAACAATGCTGAGAGGGCTGCTGCAGATGGGCTAAGGTAAGGCCTGGATGTGGTTATCTTCAGAGGTCCGCTGGTTGCTACTTTCCTCTCAATATCGGAACCTATTATTAAATTACGCACTAAATAGATAAACGGGCCATAAAGTGAAGCTTAAGGTGTAATGTTATCGCCTCAAAGGACCTTAACGTTTTTATGTAGAACAGCAGCAACAGAAAAGTGAACTTTTAACCAAATTAGTCTGAGCAATCCCCTGGAAGCTGTTGCTGCCGCGGTGAATGCTGGGACAGCTGTCAGTCTGAAAAGAGATTTCACTTTCTATTTTCCCCGAAGTGGATGTGTTTTACTTTGTAACCGGGACTCCCTTCCTGTCGGACCCATGATATCGTCGCAGTTGCTGCATAGTCCAACAATATAGATCTGGGGTCTCTCTCAGTCAGAGCTATGGAAGTCCTCTTGCAGAAAACGGGGTCACGGGTGATCATCGCCATTCACTGTCAATGAGAGCTAAATGCCACCTCTTAAGACACAATTTTCTATCGCATCTGATGTAAAATCGTGTTCTTTGTGTTCAGGGCTTTAGTCTTTACAATATCAGTATATGTACAGAATGTCTTATCTTTGCCTTTCTGATAATTATTTTATTATCATATTAAGTATTTTGATCATCTCAATAATTGAGTAGGCTTATTACCTACTTTTTCTCGGATTGTAATTCTTTACTCTTATTTGCCTAAAACCATGTTAAACTAGTGTTACTCTTACCATGGCACGTTTAGGTATTCTGCCTACCTCTGATTTTAATACAAGGAGTATTAAAGTAAAGGAGGGTTAAATAACATTTTTCAGCCAAAGATTTATATATTTTCACCCCAAATCACTAAAATCATACATCTTTTATGGATTATATAAAATTCTCAAAATAGAAATTTAATTTGTGAGGATGGGTTTGAATGTTTCCAATACACTAAACCTGACCAGCAGAATGAATAACTCAAACTCATGCACTATAATAAGATTAAAATGTCTCTGTTATGAGATGGTTGGATCCAGTTAGTCGTGGTTAAATAAAAATATGCCTGTATGCCCATACCTGGTCACTTAGCAGGATGTGAATGCCTGTAGGACCCTGCCTGTACACTTGGTGGATCCTTCCCAAAGGAATGCCACACACAGATGCAATCTTACGGATGAGCTCTGCAGCTGTGAGCTCCTCTAAATACAGAGCATGGTACACTGTAGAGACAGAGGGAGGATGGCGTCAAAGACTGGTGCGAAAAGTTAAACACATCAGTATTTCACTACTATCAGGAAAGAAATGGTTTCTTCACCATGTAAACTAGCAGAGCTCTGGTGTTCTCCATTTTCAATTGTGCAGTGTCTCTCCAGCAGAGGGCTCCCCTGAGGAGACTCCTGACAGACGTACACTGTCAATCTGGGACGCACTGACCTGCATGAAGAGAAGTCAGTTAACACACTCACACTCTGCCACAGGCAGTTTAGCTCACAGCAACAACAAAAACATGCAATAACGATATAATCCCTCCTTTTGAGTTTTTCCTACACACAGACTGCAAGCGTGCTTCAACAAGCTCAATAAACAAGCAAATATAGACCCACCTGGATTTGAGTGCATTGAAGAGTCTGATCCCATCTGCTGGCCCACAAATCTGGACCAGGTCCTCCCGGGTCAACTTCAATAAATCAGAACCTGTGGCAGAACAGGGTAGGTATCTGTAACCTTTTGCTCCATAACATAATTTCTAATGGTCCTGCTATTTACAAAGAAGACCTAGATTACAGTATTGGGACTTACAGAGGTACCTTTTCCATGTAGCTCTTAAATGTTAGCATCAATGGAACAAAAGTGCTCGATTTGAACTCATGCACCAGGTGCAAGTATAGCAATGTGTTCATCTAAAAGTTGCTCTATATGTCAAAGAAGCACTTTCCTCTTAAAGCAATCCTTAGTCGATTAAAAATCACCCCAAAAAGGAAGCCTGTTATCAATTATTTCCAGATGACTGAAGCCAAAGCTGTACACACCTGAGAAATGAGAGAAGAGTCTAGTGTAGGAGCTGAAGCGGTTCTTCAACAGCCACTTCTGCGTGTCCTGTATGGAGGCAGTGGGGCTCAACTGCTGCAAACACACAAGAAATGATAGTTTATTTCTTACAACTCAATTTGTTTTATCAAAACAATCTTTAAATAACTGCAAGATGCATAGCATTTCACTGCTATTAGGGATCGCCCGATTCATCACCCGGCTGGTATTTTTGGTCGATTGTTTTTTTTCCTTGTTACGGCTGATATTTGCATGTGTTGGAGAATTCATTAGTGCATTCAACAGCCATGCCTTAGATCATGTGAGCCGCATGCGTCACTCCGTCTGTTATCTGTTGTTAATATCGTGCCTTTTATTGGTTATTATTATAGTTATTTATTTTTATGAAATTTACACATAACATTTGGTGTAATTTTTATCTTGTTAATAGCGGAACTGAACGAAATATCCACATAAAAAAGTATAAAAAATATCTTCAGAGTGTTGGGGGCTTTATTAAGTAACTAAAATCAATCTCTGGGTGATCCATGTATTTTTGGATAGGCGCAAACAGATCAAGGATGACTGTTTGCTTTGAGATGCAGCCTGGGACATTTCTCTATATCTGTTGAAGTACAATCAAGAATAACCTCAACTGAACTGATTTATTATTTGGACTTTTCTTTGGTAAATAAATTGTTGCCAAGAAAGAAAGAAAAAAATCATATCAATATAACAGAGATTATATTTTCTGAAAGACATTAAGTGGAGTAGCTTTGTAAAGCAGTGACTGTTCTAACTGTTGAAGAACTCTGTTCTTTGTTTTAATAATCCTTATTATTCGGATTATAATCCTTATTTATCTTGATATACTGTATATATTGTTTATTCTTAATGCACCTTTTCCTCCTTGTTTGCACCTTCTTTAATTACTATGCCAATATGTGACCAGTGAATTTCTCCGCTGTGAGATCAATAAAGCTCATTTAATCTAATCTAATCTAATAAATCCCCGGAAATCTGACTGATATCTTAACATATAGAAACTTAAAAATGTCCAATTGGGATAAAAATCAGTCAAGTAAAGACAATACTCTTCCAATTGAAGCAGACATGTAATAAGATACTAACCTCTGAGTTGTTGTGGCCACCAGGATCCACCTGGTGATTGGGGGAGGATGAGTCACTGGAAAATGACAAAAACAACAATCAACACCGCTAACAGAATAAATGACATTTTAATAAGAGCATGAATCTAACTAATCACAGAATGCAACTGAATTACCTGTCCAGCACAGAGGAGGTGGTGTAGGTGGAGAGAGGGGTGGAGGAGAAGGAAGGGGTAGCTGCCTGGTTGGTGCTGGTGTAGGCGGCGTCTGGCCATGGGGAGCACTGAGCAGACACACACATGTCCATAAATAATGCAGTGATTGCAGACAAACTAATGATAAAGAGAAAAAACTTTATTGCACCTATATGCAAAACCTATGGAGAAGTCAATAAATACCAGGAATGTATCTTTGCATCAGCTCCAATCTTCCTAATCACAAATATTTAGTGTTCTACCGTCCCCTTTACGTCGGCTGAATGTCTAGGAGTCTAAAATGTAGACAGACTGTGGATGGTGTGACCAGAAGGAAAGGGGGGGAGGAGAGCAGGCTGCTTACACTGCCTCTCTTGGCCAAGGAGTCACCACAATCAGCGGGAAGTGTCCGCTTGCTGGACTTTTTCAGCTCATGGTCGCCCGAATCTTCAATGATGGGCTCAAGCCTCGTCTACACAGAGACACACAGCAGAGGTTAGCAGCCAGTGAGTCACATAGACACACAGATCCAGGACTTCTCACTACGAACCAAAATACGAGCTCTGAGACCTGACCTCTATTCTCAGGTTCTAAAAGCTTTTTTCTCTCCATGTGTTTAAAAAATAAACTTTCTACATTAAAATGATGAGTCATTTCCACTGATTTAAATCAGACTGGAAACAGAAAGAAATTAAAGGCAGGAAGTAAAATGAAGGACAGAAGAAATAAGAAAGGGCATGAAGGAGGGAAAGGGAAGTGATACAAAAAAAAAAAATCTTGAAATAAGTGAAAATAAAAAGGACATGAACAAATTAAAAGAATGAAATAAAAGGACACCAGGATGAAAATGAAAAAAAATAAGGCCAACAGGAAGGACAGAGGAAAGGAAACAATGAAGAAAGATAGGATAGAAAATAAAGAGGGATGGACAGGGAGGAAGGAAGACAGGGCAAGATCAAGAAAGAAAAGACAGAAGCACTTTAAAACTCGAAAACATGAAGGTGTGTACAATAGCATTCTTTTATCAAGAAAGAAAAAGTGAGAAAGAAGGGAGGAACCGAAACAATGGACACAGGTCAGATAACCACGACAAAGGAAAGAATGAAATGAAAAGGAAGGAGGACCCAAAGGTGCAGAAGGACGCATAGAAAAAAGGAAAAGAGAATGCAGAAGAAGGGTTACAAGGAAATAGAGCTAAAAGAAACAAGGAAGAGAAGTAAAGAAAGAGGAAAGGTCACAATGAGGAGAACAAAATAAATTAGTAAGGGTTCTTCAGCAGTCACCCATAGGTACTACTGGAATGAAGCTTGCAGTAAGGAAGGAGCTAGGACTAGAAAACAGGAGGCTTACTGCCAACAAATCATTTAGTATAGGGACCTCATGATATTCCTAGCTGCCACCAGGAGCTAAACCCTTACCCACAATTCTTTGCATGACAAGACATTCAGGCACATCTCCCTTTATAGAGCTTAAAAAAACTACATCACTTCAACTATGCTCTGTGTGCACACCTGTGTTGCTTTATAACGAAGAGCTTCATTTGTCAAACTTTTGTTTATTGCGGTAAATTTCTAGAAGGCTGTAGTCCCACTTTGACTAGCATCAATCACGTGCATGTCCATTTATAACAATCTTAAGGCTGTAAGCTATCCGGATTCAGGAAAACAATCCAGAGCTCACCTTTTCTTGATAGCGCTCTTACTGTTGATGCTGGAAAAGGTGAGGGGATGGAAGTAAGAAACGGGAGGTAGAGAAGCTACAAGTGGATGTATTCTGATCAAGCCAAAGCCAAAAGAATGAAAGCAAAGGTTCTGAGGGAGGGAAGAAGAAAGGACAGAGTCTGCCCTGGCTAGATGTGACTACAGCTGTTTCCCTCAGTACACTCGTCACACTGGGCTCCAATTAGTCAAATTACATTTGCTCTTGTGCAAAGTTGTTGATCTTCACAATAGTTTAGCTTCAAAAAAGGTGCAAAAGTTGGCTTATATTAATCCCAATCATGGAATAATAAAGCTAAATGTGTTGGTTGTGTTACAGAATGTCTGCAGACTTTATGACTTTATTGTTTTAGATATATTTTCAAATATGATTGAATTATCTTTTTTTGAGCACAAACCTGTTGAATAGAATAAGCAACAGGATTCTTAATACTCTTTACAAACATTTCTTAAACTGAGAAATTATTAAAGTGGCCTTAGTAATAAGATGAGAAAAATAACATCCTCTAACTGTTAGATTAATCTCTGGATGAGCCGAAAATTAAAAAGTTAGAAAAATAATCCTAGAATGAGCTTAAGGATCTCATCCAAAGCCTATTTATTAAATCCATTTCAGACAAAAAAAATTCCTTTAAACAAAGGTATTGCTTGCTTAAAAAAACCTCTATTGTATAAGTAAACATAGAAAGCTGTAAATGAACACTAAGACAAAATAAATTATTTCAAGTTTACAAGGCTTGCAAGGAAATAAAGAAAACCCCTTATATTAGTAGGAGGGGGAATCTGATTGTCATTTTCCATAATGTGATAGTGTGTTCCATTTTAGGGTGTGTTTATAGTGCAGGGCTGTTTGTTACTATAGTAAAAGGTGTGAAGTACCAGAGAAGGATGCACAACCTGACTACATAAGCCTGTTTTTGCGTCACCGCAAACAACCTCAAAGCACAAACCAGACTGCTCTCATAGTTGCAGGAAGTGGTTACAGCCACTCCAGAGGGAACCTACACATTATATAAGAGGATGGGTACCCGTTGGAGAGCAGAGGTGTAAAGTTTCTTAATAACAGTGCACCATAGTTACGGTAATAGGATGAGAATTTCACTTACTGCAGGGACATGAAAGCTGGTATGGTTTTAGTTTATTTCTATCAATAAAACAAACAACCTGATTCTGCTCTGGAGCCCCCACCAAAGAGGTTTAGACAGCAACTTAACGAGAAAAACGGTGATGTAGCGCTGGAGTAAAATCCACACATTGAGAAGAGGACGGCTTCAAATGAACGGCAGTTCTGCTCATTAAATCATAGCCCCTAGAGATTATTGCTTACAGTATTTTGATGGATGTTCATTTAGAGGAGAAACTAATGTTTTCAACTAATGGAAACTAGACTAAAAATTACAATATTTTAAAGTGTGCAGAAGCCTCAAAAAAAGCCTGTTAGTTCGTAGTAGAAACATGCTGACCTCTGATAGGATAGTGGTATCATAGGAAGGTTGGTATTTCTCCTTCTCCTGAGGGGTACGCTTCTCCATCTTCTCCCTGTCAGTCTTCTGCTTACGGTCGGCCCCTTTTGGCTGAACAAGGAGAAGACTTGTTAAAACAACAACTATGATAAAGGAGAGGTTCAAAGGCTACGCAGAGAGCCTGACTGTGTACCTTGAAGACTTTAATTTGACAAGAAGCGGAGTGGAGGTGCTCTGCGTACTCTCCACCGTCTCCCTGGGTGAAGGTGTCGATCTGGATCCTGAAGGGGACGCCCTTCTCTCCGCCATGCTTCCTGGGAGTGAACTCTGTGCTGATGCAGTGCACCTGCAGACAGAATGGAGGACAGCTTCATCAAAATATGTTTGATGTGGAAATACTGTGGCGCCGGTGTTAGCAAAAAAAGAGCAAGCATGGTTGATGCACAGGGGGATGTTTTTTGTTACCTGCACGAAAACAGAAGTTCTTTTGTTCATGTCCCACAGAAACTCTGCAGCGTTGAGCTGGGAGGGGTGAGTCTTGGGCTCAACAATGCCCACTGACATGGGGATATCTGTTTCAGACGCAGAGATATTTAAGCTGCACGTCACACGCTAACACAAGGGACAGTAGAGTAAACGTTTGTGAGCATGTTTCCTTCATTACCGATGTCAAGGAGACGGTCCCCAGGACGATTCCACCTCCAGCCCTCCAGCTGCTGGTGCTCCGTGTACTGCAGCCGCCGGTCGTGAAACACTACCCGTACTGTGCTCTGCGTACAAACACGTGCGGATTAGGTATGAAGAGCACAAGGAGCAGACGTTTGTAATCAAGTTTTAACGGCTCTTACCTTCACCATCTTGTTGTTGAGCTCTGGCAGCTCCCCCGCCTTTCTGTTGTCCAACATACGGATCTCATAAGACTGGCCTAAATGAGAGAAAGTTGAGGTAAACTGCAAGCTACTCAGTGCATAGGTTAATAAGAATATCCTGGTTGATCCAGATATCAGCAATATTACTTCAAATTATGACAAAAATCAAACACCAAGGGATGCTGTAACATATACATAACTGAGATTTAAAAACAAAGGGAAAGAGATCTGAATAGATCAGAAAATGAAGAACAAAAATGCAGGATGGCTGAAAATAGACTCTTGGATTATGAGGTAAGGTTTACAGACAACGTTTACATTTGAGACAAAGGGCTGAACATACAGCCATACAGTCAGCTGAACAATGGTTACCATTAAACCCATTATTTACATCATTTAGTTCACAGTGATCATAGGGGTCTGACTGATAAGGTGATTAGAGCTTTATACGACACATGGGATGTTTTAGCAATCTTCAAAATAAAAACAAAAACACGCCGGTTATAGGTGCATCTCTGAGCATATTCTCAATTTTTACTGGGACAATAACTTGAAAGCGGATCCTTATGTTCGGTTTAACAGTTTTTAAAATAAAATGCTGTGATACAAAAGATTTAGTTTTTAACTGTAAGAAACACTAAAGGCGGGAGTTTATAAAATGAAATGAATATTTTAAAGTTTTGTTTTACATTTATTGATGTTTGTTTTTAAGTTTACGTTTTCTTTAGTTCTTTATATTCAAATATTAATCATTCAGGAAACAAACTTATTTATTACTTATAAGTAATTATTTCTGGTTGTAGTAGTGATAGCATTTATTTATCTGATAATTACCATCATAACAATTACACATACGTGATCACTAAAATTAATCATTGCTGTTCAGCAACAGATGCATGGCTTCTTTATAATTGCTTTTTATTTATGCATTAATTGATACAAAACGTACGGCTATTTTTTTTGCCAAGACTTTTGAAAGCAACTGTTTTTTCTTGGTCTGACACAAAAATACATATTAAGAATTCCTGTACCTTTAACCAGAACACACTACTTTAAAAACATATGAAAAATCTAGAATTCTAACATTCATTCAAGGGAGATAAATATTAGAACTTAATTTAAAAAACTTATTTTTAATAAATCAAGAACAAAAAACAAAAAAAACAAGTACCATTTGACATGTGGCCTAAAATTAGACTTGCAATTGTCATATGTCTGAATGGATGCATTTTATGGAACATTTACATTACTGAATGGTGGAAAAAAATGACTTAATTACTAACAGAAGGAGGTGGAGGCGCCAAGAGCAAACATAAACAATGAACAACCCAGACACTGCATATGTCACCAATGGCGCTAGACTATGGGTGCATGATGCTGGGAAAACATGCAATGAAGTTGGTGAATGTTGAAGGTAAATAGCGTTCATGTTTTCTGTTCTGAGTTCATAGCAAACTAAGACCCCAGATAATGACTCATCCAAGAAAAAGTTTTTATATAAATAAGTGATATGGAAACCACTTATTGATCATGTTGGAATCTTACCTCTACCTTCTATTTTATTATGCTAACACATACCATCAAATAAACCACAATCTAGAGGATGTTACTTAAAATAAGCCAATCCTGACAGCTCGTCTTTTTTGCACTGAGCATATTGAGTAGTTATACTGCAAAAACTAACCCAACACTCGCCCACCTGTGTTAGGCAGTTACACCTGTTTATATTGACTTCTGTAAACACAGCATGACATGTGTGAGATCATGACTTCTGTCACTCATGTGGGGAACTTCAGACTCTCATCATATAGAAATCTGAACGACCCCGACATCCAAAAAAACAACAGATCACAATAAAGCAAAACTTGTAAAAGCCAAAAATGTCTCCTAAATCAATTGATTTAATACAAATAAATCCAATTAATATAGTTGAGTCCAAAAGTTAGAGTTGCAAGTTTGCAGGAAGCTTACGGGGGCTTAGTTGAATGAAACAAACCAGGATAATTATTTTGATTGCACTTTGACCGTTACCTTGATTTAAGTAAGTAAGCGTCTCGTCGTGCAGCTTGACAGCAGGCGAGGTGGCAGCACACAGCACATACTGGAATGGAGGATTTTTGGTCTTGCTTTCAGGTGGAAGGTTGGAGTCCTCCTGCTTAAAGATGGGCAGAGCCAGCACATCACTGAAAAACAGAGACAGTATGATTTAGAAAACGCCACAATCAAGACGATATCTGAAGAACTTCATTAAAGACCAAAAAATGTCCTAAATGTAGCTTAGCTCAACTCTTCAATCTTTTTAAGTCATTCTGTAACAATTATTTTTATTGCCAGGTAATCACGAACATCTGGAAAACATAAAAAAAAACAACAACAAAAAAAAAAAACACTGCCTCAATTTTTCAAAACAAGATCCCCCTCGATTCTTATCTCCAAGAACATTTGTCATGGATTAACTCCCCCTTAAATTATTAAACAAATGAGCCTATTTTAGAGGTGATAAAGCGGTTTCGTTGATCAATGGTCTCCTATTATACATGCATGAGGCTTCACCTTGATGAATGATCAGAAACGCCTAGAGATGGATGCATCTGCTCACGTTACCCCTCACACATCATCACCAGTCCTCCTTAATCCCTGACAAACACTGATGGGGTGTCAAATGGGTGGTCTGTTTGCACTTAAAAACAAGCAAGCATGGAGAAAAACAAAGCCCTACACTGCAGAAGGTGTCATTTTATAAGAATGTTATTGTGAGTCATGAGCGAAACAGCCTGCAGGAATGTCTAGAGTTTGTTCCCTTTTCCTTTGAAAAACTGTCTCTGCAATCTATTCTATTGTAACCCTGAGCCATCCAAACCATCACACCATGACCTATACCGGCCTCCTGAAACCTGAAGAGTGTGATCCAGGAAAAAATAAAAAACATGAAGACATTTTGTTCCCACCAGCTGCCGGGTTCAAACCCAGCCCAGCATCACAGATAGCACACTCTCTGTTTTCACTAATTCACTTGCATGCATACCATGAATTCAGCACCGTTGAACTCACTTGCACTCATGGACGACTGGCACACGCCTACGTCACACACAGATAAGCAGGCAGAAGGAGCAAAGGGGCTGCTGATAAACACATGCTCATCCCTGGAGGTCTTGCCCCGCGCAGCGAAATATCACCCCCTCCATCCCACTGACCTCTTACATAACGCAGGGCAGACATAGTGAAACCCCAGTAAGTGAACAGGTGCTTCTCTACAATGTCTGCTAGGGTTTATCTAAAAAAGATGTGAAAGAAGTCTATGCAGATGGACATTTGCTGACCACCACAAAATAAATGATTTCATGACCAAGATCTGGTGCAGTGACCATTCCAGCTGCAGACATTCCAACATTAATCTGTATCAGTCCCAGTATTGCAGAAGAAGATGGGTGAAAATCGGCCTGATGAATTCATTCCATTTCTATAATAGATTTAAGAGTAAATTTCTCTTGAAAGCAGGAAAGTTTGCATCTCATGGGCCTTTTGCAACCCTTTGCATTCGTTTTCAGAATTCAATCTGTCCTGTTAAACTCAATTGATTGTTTTTAACGACTTTCTTTCTGACCTTATACTGAACTCCAATTGCCTTTTGTGATATAAATGTATACATTTAATACTTGCTTGTAAAAAGGATTTTATGGAAGAAGAATAAAAGAAAAAAAATCAGTGCCGATGATGGAGGTAAAGCAAACAGAGCTCTGGCATTGGGCTTTGCAAATATTAAAAAATTCAAATATCAGAATTTGAAGAAAGGGGGACGGTGCATCGCTACTAGCAATGTGTGAAGCATTTCAGGGTGAAACTGAACATGAGCATTTAGGCTCAGAAATCTGCAGCTGACCAACATCTGATGGACCCCGTATACTGATGCAAATTCAAGGGGATTGGGATGCTTTCAAAAATCGAAAGAGTCAGGAACATGATGCATTTTATACTTCTAGCAAATGGCAGGTTAAATAGACAAAAACTCTTAGTAACCTACAAATTTTACTCTTGTCTAGACATGGGCCAGTTATTGGTATTAATGAACACAGAGGGTTTATAAAGCTATAGCTTTAAACAAAAAAAGAAAACAAGCTAATATAGGTCATGCTCTTTTAAATCGTTGAAACTCATTTTAATGGGACACCAGAATGAACCAGGCTGAATTTAGTTAGCTGCCAAGCTAGCTGGCTGAAAGAAGGCTACAATACAAACCCCTTGCTTTTAGCATGCACTAAGAACAAAAAAAACTAATCCAAACACTTTGTCCATCCATCACCCAACAACTTTACAATTGTTTAACACAGCTCTGCTGTAGCACCCTTTAAATCAAACCAATGGATCATTACCGAGACTCAGCAAAACCCGATGACATGTTGGAAGAGATAAATCAGCCATTTGATTCATATGTTCCTAGGCCGGGATGCATCTAAATGTTGCAGAACATTGATTCATGAGTTGGAATTGGATTACCCCAGCAGACAGTTGTTTTAAAACTATTTTTTGTAAACCAAGAGTGGCATGCCTCATGCAGCTAAATGGAGGCCCTATACAATCAGTTAGCCCAGTTAACTAAATAACTACATAACAACAGCCTACAATTTTATTATTAGTTTATTTAAGTTAAATCTTAAGTAATCATATTTTTTATTATCCAATGTTATGTTTGCAAAACGTTTGGCAAACAAATGCCAGTTAAACTCCTGGAGATGATTTCCAAATAAATATAACATTATAAGGAAGAGGTTTTATGATGACCCTCAAGAGGGCTTTAGCCAAATTGACCTGATGTTGTGTAATTTTTGATTGGAAACTAATTCCAGTTAACACACAGCCAAAAAATAAGTACCAACATATGCATTTTATCTCCTAAATAATTTTATAAATATCTATATATAAGGAAAGGGAACCTTCCCCCAATGATTCAAATAAACAGACCCACGCATCCAGTATATTAATAAGATAAACAGGCAAAGAAAATTTAAGATCTTAATACTTTCTTCAAACTTTAGATTACGACTCATTTTTCGGCATCTATGTTTCATTCTAGTTAATTGACCTATGAAATATGGCAGATGACCCTGACCAAAAGAAACCCAATTAACTTTAGGTGATATACCATGCAGGAAATCAACATATGTTAAAGTAATATCACAAGACACACCGGTACATAACTAATCTAAACAAGTGCCAACTAATTTATTTCATTGAGGTAGGGTTGTCAAAAATATTGATACTCAAAAAAGTATGGATACTGAAACGTTGTATCCGGATAAAATGCTCATTTTCAAAGGTATCGATACAGCCATCTAAAGTGCAGAATAGAGGACAATGCACTTTCTGAACATTTTTCTGTTTCAGACTTTTTTTGTAACAGGTGCAGCTGGTGAGAATTATTTTTGTTTTTTAACTGGTTTGGCTAGTGTCATTGTTATGTCTGCAAAACATAGCCAAGGAAGGAACACTTAATTTTAATTTTGTAAGTTCTTTATCAAACTTGCTTAATATTGTGCACAGCATACAACCTCAAAATATTATTCTTATTGTTTTTTTTTTATTTATTTCTTGTATTTTTTTAGTAATTAAAATATTTCTGTTGAATTTTAGAGTCTTTGTTTTTATTCTTGTGGTATCGAAAAGGGTATCAAGTATTGAATATTTTACTTAGTATCGGTATCGAGTTGAAAAGTTTAGTATCGTGACAACCCTACATTGAGGTAATGTATTTTTAAGATTAAGCACTTTAAAATACGGTGAACAACATATCTGTAGGAATTTGAAAAAGGACAAAATGTTACTCAATTGTATTTGCATAAAAATGACAAATTAAAGAACATGCTGGTAGGAGCGACGGATCTGAAACCAATCAAAAATAAATTTAACAAAACATTTTGCACTCAAGTTGAAAAACATTTGTCCATTTATATATGGTCTATCCAGAAGTTAAGGGCACAGATTAAGCTTTAACTGGTTTCAATTCTGTGTAAAATCTTTAAGGAAACTTTTGCAATCTGGCTGTTAATCTTAAAAAAAAAAAAAAGGATCGACAGATTAATCGATGGGCAAAATAGTCTTTAGCTGCATCCCTATGACAGTTAACTCTAGAACATCCTAGTTTTGGGATATTTTTCACAGCTACATTTTCTTTAATCAACTTTCTGAATTCAAGTGTACCCATCCATCCATTCATTTAGTTTCTTTTAAGCAAATACTAAGTTATTTTCATTCAAGGTTCACATACCTTGAAACCCTCATGTCTAGGTTCTACATAAGAGCACAGAATGAATTAATCATTACAGCACAAATCAATAAATAGGTAAAGTTCACAATAAGTACCTCCCTTGCTTACACAAACTTGTGTTCTACATTCATTACTCTCTCCTGTAATCCAAGACACAGTGAGTGTGTCAACAGCAGACTAAGATGTGAGCAGGAAAACCTTTTGTTTCAAGATAGAGATAAACAGCTACGTCATTTTTCTACGCACTTCCTCGTTGAGAGCAAGTTTGTATATATGTTGTAGCAACACATTGTGTAGGGAACAGGATCAACTGATCTGACGTGTTTACTCCCCCAACATACACACAATATGAAACGGTATTTTTCCATTTACAGTCTCGTGGGTCTAATGTTTGACCCCGATCGTGGCACCCCGCTGTGACTGTTGTACTGCAAACCTGAAAACAAAGAAACATTTACAACACACTACAAAGGGGATTATAACCCAGCTCTCGCGCGAACATCTTTAACGTTCAAACATGAAGAAAGTGTGTGTTTTTGCCCGAAAGCAGCGTCCGTCTCTAACCTCATGCTGTAAGCTCCAGCCCCGAGCTCCTGCCCGATGCCAGACAAGCTAGCATCGAAGTCGTGCACCAGCCCCGACTCGATAGTGGCATCGTCCATCTTCAGCACCCAGGCCATGGGCCCCAGCTCCTTGTCCTCGGCTTCTACTCGAAGGGCCGCCAGCTTGCTTCGGGTAAGGGCTCGGTTAAGGAGGGGGAGAAAAAAAGAGGGCTCTGCAGCTTGTGAGACACCCGCTGGAGCAAAGTTCTGCTGCTAAACCCGTTAGCTGCTCATCGGCAGGCTGGGGAGGCGAACAGGTAGTTTTGTCCGGAGACGGAATTCACCACCATAATTCTATTTGGCTTATTTAAGCTATTTTCCTCCCTCAAACTAGTGGCAAACAGCCCTAGAGAGACACCAAGTTAGAACCCCATCAGCTAACAAACAGTCGTGACGAAAGATGCGGACTGGTTGTCAGCATGCTAACGTTAGCTAGCTTTACAAAGCCATCTTTTATATATAAAAAAATCAACAGCGCTAAAGGAGCGGTTTAAGAAGCGAGTCCCAATTGCCGGGTTGACGTCCGCTCAGCAAAAGGCAACAAACTGAGGAAGAATATTGTAAGAATCCAGAAACTGCATCCCACGCAGCGTCTGCACAGCTGTTGCTAGCAAGCTAACTAGCATCAACTTCATTTGCTTTGAATCAGCTGCCCGGTGAATTAAAACCCGTTCTCCTCGAGCGCGCTCTGTACCATCCCAGCGAGGTACGCTCTTCTCATAGCGGTTGGGAAATCACCGCTCTGGCTTCCAGTCTATCAGAGGCAGTCCTTTAACCATCCAAAGTGTACCGTTTGACACAAAAACAGGCATCAACATGGCTCCCACAGCGTACAGTCTCACTGTCTTGCTGGGTCACCAACACCAGCAGCCCCAGGAACGATGCCAGCACGGAAACTAGCCAATCACTGGCCGTAGCTTGTGCCCACTGCAGAAGGGTTAGCCAATCAGAGGCTCCCCAGCTTCCGTCATTGTGTTACATTCCTGATGGGAATTCCGTGTACTTTTAAGGGATCCGAGCTATTTTGCTCCTGTTGTAAAGAGTTGATTCCTGGAGGCACATAACTAAATAAAAAAAATAAACCAGGTTTTGTGTATGTTTTTACGCGTTGTACTTTACACACAAACCTATTTTCTGAACATAGTACCATAGATGTGTACCCTAACTGTCCTTCACTCTTCAATGAAAAATGCTTTAGCTGCAAATCCAGCTTTCTTATCATTTTTAAACCCGATTTATTTTTTTATGGTTTGCCCTTGCATGCAATTTTTTTGCTTGATATCAACAGGATAACTGGTTATAATCAGTTATCTCCATATCCTAATTTGTGCAGTACTAAGGAGGTATGCAGAAATCAAATGTAGAAACGTTATTTAAATAAAGCATTTGAAAGATGATTTTTTTTTGTGCATTTTTTTTAATCTTTTATTTAAATTTACCTCAAGACAAATAATACAACTGTGTGTTTTCAACATAACTATCCCAAACAAACTGGTTTGGGAATTTATAGACTAAACCAACTAATAAAAAAGTCCATTAATTTAAGACAATTTTATAAAACTTGATAAATAAATATAAAGCAAACATAAAAGTTCACCAACTTCTTATAAGTAAAATGCAGTTGATTTACAGCATACAAACAAGTTCGTGAGTGTGAACATGTGATCCGAATCAGCTTTCATGGTTCACATAAGGGAACTGGTTCGTTGAATCGGATCGTTTCGACCAACACATCACTGTGTTTGACTTTCAGAGAAACTTTATATTAACAAACTAGTTACTGTCAACAAAAATATGAGCAGTGCAGAGTCAGGTTGATGAAAACCTTACCGTGTGTAGCTGCTGCCGTCTCCGCCGCCATGTCTCTGCAGCGGAGCCCGGAAGTTTTCGGTGTATGACTGCCAGAACAACATGTGTGCTTCCCAACAGCTGTCTCTACAGGCTCCGATCCAGTCCTGCTGTAAAAATCAACGCGATTCAGCCCGAGCAGCACCACAAAGATCCAAAACTGAGCAGAATCCTTTCATTCATGTCACCGAGAGGCTCAACTACCACAAACTTCTGATATTTATCTCTGTTTTTGCTTTCCACAGCACTGCCCTGCTAGCATTCATTAGCCACAGCCTGGCTTTGCTGTAAGTCTGCAGGGGAGGGTGTTTAAAGTATTTTTTTGAGCAGGGTACAGGTGCTATTTTGGACCGAAGGGGTCGACCCGCCTCACCATTTAATTAGAGACCAGCTTCTTGGGAAATCCAGCATAGTGATCCCTTCATATATAAGGGTCCAGTTTAAATTCAATGAGAGTTAAAGTGCTAAATGAACAGACATATTTATAATACCATGTGTTGAATAAAATATATTGTGGAAACAAGTTTTAAATCATGTGATAGAAGCACGGAAATCATTTGATAGCTAGTGGCCTAAATAATCCCCTTTTATATAGACAAGGTGATTGGATTATAGTAATACTGCTGATTAACCAATCAGTTTTCAGGTTCCATGATTGAATGGTGCAGATTAAAATTGTAATTATGCAAAAATTGATTGATTTGCATTCTTAATAAAATATTTAAGTATTGTCATTAATAATATATTGATCCAATTAGGTAATTCAAGCTATATTAAACAATTATATCAAATATTTGTTGGATTCTTATTTTATTTTGTTTTCCTAAAATAAAGACTTTAGGAAAAACTGTGTGCTTCTCTTCTTTTTAAAATAAACAGGTCTATTCTTTCAAAATGAAACATTGGATTAGATATAAACAAGGCCGGAGCTAGATGGGAGCCAGGGGTGGCCATGGCCCCCCTACCATTTTTTCCCTCTAATACAGACGGTGGCAGCAGCAATACTCTCAAGTGGAATAATCATTTTAATTTTTCATATATTACTTACCATTTTTTCATTACATTCAAGTTCATAATTTCTTGACAACACTGTGGTTAATTATATCAATATACTAACATTAACAGAATTCATGCTCTTTTCAGAATTAGATTTTGTGTTAAATGGGGTAAAGAGAAAATGATGTGCAAGTCATCTAGGAGTCTTCTGTGAAATCATAGATAAATATTTTAATAAAAACTTAATAATCAATTTATGTAGATATTAGTAGTTGTAAATATCAATTTTATGCAGAATGATTATTGATAAAAGTAGGTAAGTAATGACAATGGAAAAGATGTTGCCCCAGAACTCAAACCTGAAAGAATTTTATCCAGTATACCTTTTAACTAGAAAGCACGGACGTTTAAATATATGCATCTATTTCTTAGCACAGGCTGTAGGAAAGTATAGTTTGTTTTATCTTTGGCTTGACCCTAAGGTTCTGGTGCCTATCCACTTTTGGCCACCCCTCAGTGTACATTTGTTATTGCCTGGCCACCTTTATAAAAAATTTCTGGCTACGCCTCTAAATATAAAAGTTGATCTAATTTGACAAGGGGAGTGTTGGCCTAGTGGTTAGAGCAGTGTGCTTGTGCTCTGAGAAAGTTGCACCCCACAGCCTGCAGTCTGGGTTCCTGAGAAAGACCTTTGACCACACACTGCTCCCTGGGCCATGCACTGTGGCAGTCCACCGCCCCCCAAGGAGATGGGTCCAATGCAGAGTAAAGTTCTCCAATGTGAGATCAATAAAGTCAATTATTAAGAAAATAAGGAAAATTTCATTTAGTAGACTCATGTATATTTGTGGTGCATTTTTCGGAAAGATAGGAATGTCTCCTGTTTTTTTGTTTTAAATGCTGCTGATCTATTATAGTGCTTGGTTTATTATTTGATGCCCGAGTTAACTTTATCAATTTCGTTAGTGTCAAGTACAATTTACATTATAATCGAGATTTCAGTTATACAAAGGAGTACTTTTATTTAAATATATGCCTAAAATATTTCATAATTGTTAAATATTAAAAAAACTATTAAAAAACAGAAGTAAGCACTTCAACCTAAATTAACCTGTAGTTTAATGATAAATCCATAATGAACATTCATCAACAGCATCATGTTTCACAGATAGGTTAAGGATAATGCTGTAGAGAAACTGAAAATTTAGATTTATGAACAAAAAAAAAAACAACTTAAAAATCTCTGGTTTTAATTTCAGCTTGTGAAAAATGGTAGATTGGAATTCTTTAGCAAAGCCTTGTGATTGTTTTTGGTGTGGCTCTCACTGCTTACATGGAAGCCAAGGGGTTTACAGGTCAGCTTGATGCCAAGTCTGGTACTCTCTTCAGCTGCTCCTAAATATACGGCCCAGAGAAAGAACAGATGCATAACTGAAATTCAGCACCACTAACTCAAATAGCCATGTTGCATAAGGCTTAAATGTTATCTTTTGCACTACATACGAGTGAGGCCACTTTATAATTAATGACTGCATGCTAACCTCCTACCCTCCATTTTTTTCTGCTAGCACAGCTTTATGCAGAATTACTAAAATTAAATTATATTAATCACTTAAACCTAATCAGTTTTTCTGTTTACAATCATCGTGACAAATTTGAAAAGAAATTGGGGAGTCATTTTTTAAAATCAGAAATATACTATAATTGATAAAAATTAAATAATTTTTTTTTTCTTCCCATTTATTTCCCCCCCTTTTTATTGGATTTTTGAAGACTGGAATCCATTTGCCTTAAAGATAGAGCCTGATACAACAGCCTGACATCGAGCCAAACTGTTTTTGGCACAAATTTGTATTGTTTTAACTTGGATTTTTACAATTTTTGAGTTTATTTTATTTTTCAACAACTTTTTTATAAGCTAAGCATTGATCTCTAACACTGTGGGTGAGGTGGAGTTTATAATTTGAAAATTTAAAAGTATATATAAAAAAAATACTTGGTCAAGCTTTGTATATTTCTAAGTTAGTTCTAAATTATTAGCATTTTTCTTTAATAGTTTAAAATATACTTAGATTTCTCAAAACAAGAAAAATCTGTTAAAAACACAACTTAACTAACTTTTCTTTTAACATTATATCTTCCATCACACATCTATAAAGAACCCTAAAAATAATTGAACCAAGTAAAGAAATAAAAACATGAATCTTTAAACATGAATGTGTGTAGTCATGATCTGTACAAGTTCTTTATTTCGTTGTAAGCACAGCTTTTTAAATGCACAAAGAAAACTAGAATGTTATAAAGAAATACAGTGAACAAGAAAACGAGAAAACTTAAAACGTGACATTTTTTTTTCCAGATCTGTAAATAATACATTTCTACAAATTTCAACAAAAGAACAGTGAGTGTAAGACTACAGCACACGCAACGGAGGGAAATAAAACATGGATGGATGGGTGAGGGTGCGTTCTAGCACCCCAGGCTGGGTGGGAGGGATGGTTATTGAATAATCCATTTTATTATCATATAGATATACATGTCCACTAAGTGATCATTAGCCATGTCTGGTCATACTTCATGTATAAAGCAGCATTACACCCATCATCCTCAGAAGTGGGGCTGATCAAACGTGAGCTTGCAGAAATGAAAAACCACCTGGGATCCATCTGAAAGGGCTGGACATGGTTCACTTAATTTAAAACCAGTTTTATGTGTTAGTTTGCTGCAGAGCCGGTGGGTCGTACCTTTGAGGCCGGGCAGCATCTTTCTATGAATAATAAAAAACAAAAGAGTAGGTGTGATCAGAGGAGAGAGTGTTTCATGTTGGCTGGGGACAGTAGCAGTTCTGTGGTCCCACTCTGGCAGGATTGACTTCTATAGAACGTCGACTGAGGATTCGCCGCCGGCGGAGCCAGACTGGGCACGCTTGATGTACAGATTCAACAGCTTCAGCTGCACAAAGAAAATAAGACAGGGTGGTTAAAAACTGGCTCCAGTTCTTAGATCAGGTGCAAACTGAAGGAAAACATGAGAGCTGTTTAGGCGTCATCATCATGGGATTTATGACGATGGAAAAAGGGAAAACATCAGGTAATAATAACTGCATTAGAGTCAAAGAAGTTTCTTTTGCTCTTTCTTAAATATGCAGAGAATAGTTCAAAGTTCTGTGTTAAAAAGAACAATAGTTATTTCCTTGTTTAAATAAAGTAAGTGCTTCTTCCATAAATATCAGTTATTTTTATTTTAAATAAATTTGTATTACGGTAATCTCAGACTTTTTCCCCACATTGTCATTCTAAGGGCTAAAGGTAGAACAAGCAAAAACTTTCTGTGTACTCTTGAAAAAATTACTTAAACAAGGAAAGGATCTTTTAAAGCAAAACTTAACAGCTCTGTCTACAGATGAGACTGGTTGTTATTATTATGTGCAATGTAATGAGATTAATCATAAAAAATGATTTGGTTTTTAATCGTTGTCCAGCATTAATACAGAGACATCCCGAATGGGGTGATGAAGAGCACACAGTCAAGATAAATCTGACTGAACATTGCTGGAGAGATCTGAAAATGACGTCTCCCATCAGACCTGATGGGGCTTCAGATGTTCTGGGAAAAAAAGATGGTGCCAAAAGATAGGGCTACAAAAAAACTTGAGGTTTGCATTGCTGCCAAAAGTGATTTAACAAAGTATTAAGTAAAGGTTGGGAAAACTTTCAGATGCACTGAACCTGGCAAACACCATTCCTGTGACTTTTAAATTATTATTCAAGAAACAATTCAAGGAATACAGTCATGCAAAATATTTAGCATTATTGAACTTTTTGTGTAGCTGTATTCTACAACCAAAACATTTACAGTATCTTATTAGAATATCAGGTGTTAAAGCATCACAAAGCAGAGCTTTATAAAGCAATGCAAAGAAAATTAAACATGATGTTCGGAAATGTACACATCCGAATATATGTGTTCAGCCCCCTTGACTAGAAAATATTCCTAACTTAAAGGAAGCTGGAGTAAACACAATTAATAAATGTAATCCAGGTGTAAATGTAACAGCTGAGATGGGAGAAAACATCACATCTTTTTTAATTGTTTAGAAGCTGGAAGGAATCCTGGGCAATTGGGCTGGGCAATGGATTGCATTTGAAAAATAATCACATTTTAAAAAGATGCAAATTTGAAATCAGAGGCTCTCAAGATTGGTCACATTACATGTAACAAAAGAAAGACACTAAAGGGATCACTTTAGCCCTTTAGGTAATACACTTTAAAGTATAGTTGACAATCTTTTATTTCTGGGTGAATCATCATATTAAGTGGTCCTCCCAATTGTCAATCATTCTGGTGATATGTGTACATAAGGCCATCCTACGTGCTCGTCCCGTTAGCTATATTTTTCCGTGCATGCGCACTTTCAGGCGTATATCTGTGGTGAGCGACAGTTTCAGCCAATCATTAAAGCTCACCTTTCTCACCATTGTTCTTTGAAAATAGCCGAGGGTTGTAATAAGAGTCTACGAAGTGTGTGAGAAGAAAAGAGGCCCCAGAAGAAGCAGATATATCCCAGAATACTTTGCATGGAGAGCTCACCTCGCAAAGCATGATGGGATTTGCTCTCACAGAGGCCCGCTGTCGCTACCCGGCAACTTAGGAGGAGTTACGTGACCAATGGAGCAAAAAGCAGTGATCATCTGTCCGAACGGTCAGTTACCCGAGTTCTCTATAAAGTCCACTATATAGTTCCCGCTCTATATAATGATTGAGGCATTTAGAGATTAGGGCGGAAGTTCCAGCACAGTAAGCTTGCATGAGCGACGCAAACAGCAACTTCTAAACGGAGCGTGCAAGAGGAGAAATGGGCTCGTGCATGACCTTACACGCATATTTTTTGCGTGTAAGTGGAGAGGGTGGGTCTTTTTAAAAATTCGCAAAAATCCTCCACAATATCTTTAATGCAGAGAGAGTGGCAGCTAGCAATCAGATCCGTGCACCTTTGTACTCAAAGGTTACAATAAAGTCCTGCAATAATGGACTCTGGATAAGCATGCTTTGCACGTTATGAAAAAACAAACTAAAACATTTACAAGCTAGAGTAACAGAAAACTAAAACTGCAGTTACAGTGTTGGTTCAAATTAATAGCAGTTAAGATTTTTGTCAAAATCATGCTACGGTTAAAGGAGACCAAAAAAATTATAAAATCTGGTGGCAGCAGCATGATGCTATGGGAAGATTTGGCTAGGCAGAGATGATGGGACAAACCTGAAAGAGAAGTTTCAGAAAACTTTCAGAAAAAAAGAATAATGGTAGGGCAGCAACCCCAAACATGTTTCCAAATCTATTTTTATTTGTGACATAAATTACCCACATAATCTAATATTAATGGTTATCGTTTTCGGATGGAAAACTAAAGGTCTGACGATGTAAGGTTTCTTTAAATAATAGATGCCATGATGACATCCTCAGTAAATAGGATGTTTTTCATGAACTGGCCGTCATAAAGCTTGGAACTCAACGCTACTCCAGACATTTTGAATTGAGAAAGCTTCCTGGATGGGAAGTGAAATGTCCTCAAACTTGGAAAACAAAATCCAGTGGATTGTTAATGAACTTTTTTTGGAATGGCCTTCAGGTGTTTGTGTAGAGCTCACCTTGCTACTGGAGAGTTGACTGAGGTGCGGTTTGAGGTCGTCTCCTATCACCGCGTGGATGGCCACCAGGCAGAACACGCAGGCTTTCCTCACACTGCTTTCTGAGTTATCGTAACCCTGTTGGACCACGTTAAACATGCCGCTTAGCCTACCGCTGTAGGGATAAATAGCCGTGTTTTTATTTTCTAACAGAATACCTGTATGAGTCCTGGCACGATCTCGGGCAGCATGCTGGCCAGGCCCTCACGGGGGACCCTCTCCACCACCTTCGTCTGCATCTTGATAGCAGCTAGGTTGATGGGGTAATCAGCTGACTGAATAATTGGACACAACACTTTGATACACTGGTCTGGACTGATGGATAACGCCAACATGGCAGCCGTCTCCTCTGCGGCTCTAACCACCTGTAGCCAAGAAGGAAAAACAAAAATATCACTTTAATGTGTGATGATGTGTAAATCAAGTGCTTCCAGTGGACTTAGCTCTTCTGTGTGAAAGTACCTCTTTGTGAGGATCTTTGTGCGCCTCCAAGGCCTTCATTATGGTGAGTTCTGCATAGTTCTTGAATCTCCAAGGCTGCTTGCCTAAAATCTCCCTCAGGACCCTCAAAGCCAGAGTTCGGATCACATGCTGAGGGGGTGAAAGGGATTTAAGAAGAAAATGAGAGGAATTTAGCTGCGCTCTCTTTTCATGAACTGAACAGCCTTTCAGCCAATGTTTGTACCTCTCTGTCCCCCATCGTCTCCAGCAGAAGCAGCAGGATGGTCTTAAAGTGTTCGTCCCACACCTGCAGGGTGTTTTCACGGATCAGCTTGAGCAGCTCGTAAAGCGCTGCCTTTCTTTCTTCCACGCGCTCGTTGTGATTTGACAGCTCCTTGAGGAGCTCAGCCACTCGCTCCGACTGATCCAGGCCGCTTTCTGTTTCAAGAAGAAAATATAAAATTACAAACTTTTCCTTTGAACAGGTAGCTTGTGGGTGACGTTTCACTCCATGTAGGCGTGGGCGTACCGTCGGTGAGCTGCCCCGATTCGTCCAGGCTGATGTCTTTCAGGTTCTGTTTCAAGGGGGGGTCGTAGAAGTGATCATGGCCAACTCGAGGGCTGGAGGTGAGGAGGGGGGTGTTGAGGAGTGAAGTCTTGTTGTCCAGAGCCATTCGACCGCCATCCATCAAGTCTGACATGTTTCCTCCCTGTTTGAAAAGAAGGAAGATGGAGGAAAACATTATGGAGAAGGTAGTTTAACGATCACTAGACCTCTGACTGCTGTCAGAGAGAGAAAAGGCTACTTTCATTTTTTTTGTATTTTGTGTCAAATTCTAGCAGGTCTTTAGAGCCTTAAAACATATTTTTAAAAACAGGGGGATAAAACCATCTCCTTCTCTTTCATTTCACTTTGCAGCTGTTATTGTTGGAATAACTCCTCAGCAGGTTAGATGATGTTATTAAAAGTAACAGTTATAGCATTGTTCTTTACTAGCCCATATTTTACCTTTACAGACGTTTTCTATGCTCCATCAACCATATCAACAATGGCTTTAGGTGGAATGTGTTAATAGTAGACGGCACAAAGTTTGCTCCTTGCTATGATTTCCACTCCAGTCTATCAAAGTAGCTTCATGTACATTTCTAAATCTCTTGAATACTTTCAATAATAATCAAACAAACATCTACTTAAAAGCCATAAATGTACTTTAGCATCAAAAAAAGTTAATCCTGATATTAAAACTATGCAAAATATGTCAGCTTATAAAAGCTTGGCTACTTTTAGGTTGTGGATTGTAACTGTAGGCCTAGAATATAAAAAAATGTTTTAACTATCGATTCCTCAGTTTATCCACTGTATGTTTTCTCGTATATCTTGGAACACCAATATATAATATCTGCCAACCAAACTGATATATTTCCACCTCACAGCAGATTCAATAAGCACCATTTCTCTGAACAGAAAGTTCTAATGTACTTATTCTGGTTTTAGTGGATCCTACAAACTCCAGCCAGAAGGAATCTGCTCTTTATTTCATCCTGATTTGTTTGGTTCTTTTATCCAATCCAAGGGTCCTAGTTTCCCTGTCCTTCTATGTCCAGCTATAACCAGCAAGCTGATAAAAAAGGGTCTGATTTTGGACAATGCTGGAATAACTTTTTATGCTAGAACATTGTGGTCTTTGACCAAACAGTACGATAAATGACTTGCTGGATTTAACACATTGGTGTGTTTGTTTTTCTTTATCAGGTGAGGCTGTCGCTCAATGAAACACTGAGCTCCTGGATTGGGTTTTATGATGCATGTTTTTTGTAAAATCTTGTAACTAAAACACTGACCCAAATAGTTCATCAGATTTTAATCTTTGAAATATTGGAAGGGTTAGAAAAGCATTATTATTCTGAACTGTTGAGACCTTTTCTACCTCCATGAATACACACTGAAGGTATCACTAATTGACTTATTTCACATTTATAGTGCAAAAATTGTTTCAAACAATCCTTACATATTATTTCTGAATGAAATACATGGTTCTGTATTTAATAAAATGGAAACGTAAAGAAATTTTATTTTTTGATTTTTTTTTCCCTCCTACACTGATTATATCGCAAAACTTCAATAATTACCCAAAACGACCCTTCAGAAAGCTGTAAACTCATAAGTGTGTGAAAAGAATCACTGACTCCCAGTATAGAATAATCATTTAAAATTCACTCATTTTTTTTTGCATCTTTAAAGATTTCTAAACTAATGAACTTCTGGCTTCGGTAAAATAAATAAAATAATTGAGCATCTTTGAAACCTTTTTAAAACCTTCATAACTATAACTGACCCGGCTGTACCTGAACAATGGTGGAAGCGGAGAGAAGCTGCTCCATCATTGACAGAACTATGGGTGCAAACTAGTCTTACTGTGATCAGATTGTCATAAAAATTGGCTATTAAAATTAATTGCTAAATTTTAGTCCCTCACTTCTTAATCGCAGATTTGGTTCAGTCAAAATCATATAAAAACAGACGGTCAGTGGGGCAGTTTACAGCCATAGATAAGAAATGAAAGGATGCACACTAAATCTCCAGCTGTTAGAACGTTGCTGCATTCCTGTTTCACCATAAATCTGATCCAATGGAAAACTTGTTTTTGCAACTTTTTGGGCCTCCAGGGCTTCATCTTTCCTAAAAAAAAACAAAAAAACAACGAGTCTGAGTCAAGTTCACCTTTATCTGTTGCAGCCTGAGGTGAGACACTCATGTTTTCAACTCATAAATACCAGGAATGTTTCTCAACCTTGTGACGTTTTCTTAGACTTTGTGAAGGTCGACATCTAACCTGTTGGGAGTGAGGCAGAGCAACAGGCATGCTAGTCCTGTTTGTGTGTGTATGTTTACACTTAAAGCATTGAAAGGCTGCTATGTATGGGCCGGTTTGATGAGTCAGGTGTGCTAAAGAAATGCAGGCTGGTTGGATTTCAGATGAAAATATCAGGAGGTCACAACTCTGTACTGGAGAACACTATGTCCTTATAGGGGGGGGCCATGTTACGGGCAAAGGGGCTGCGGAACATTTAAAATCATAAATCTTTCTTAGGAAAGCTCTCAGGCAAAACCAAAGGCTGAAAATTATGAATTATTGTTGATTTATGGCGGCAAAATTCACAACATTACTGACATGCTGAGACTGTTTGTGTAGGATTATCTTTACAGTGTTCCTCCCCATAAACAGCAACTGTACATCTCCCAGTTCCCACGCTGATAAAGGATCACATGTCACACACACACACACACACACACACACACACACACACACACACACACACACACACACACACACACACACACACACTGCATGTTAAATCTAGGAAAAGACAGTTTCACAACCGCCTGCCTGACAGGTCTTCAAAGAGCCCCTGGTTATTTTAACCCATCTGACACTCAGAAGATGTTTTTGCCACGACAACAATAGTTCAGCTGTATTTCTGACGTCTAAACCAAAACATCAACTTTCTCTTTGTTTTTAAACGGCCTTACACTTTTGATCTTACCAGCTGAAACAACATTTAAGCATTACCTTCATTAATGAATGCAGATCAGATCTGATGTCTTTAACCCATCTCGATCAGCTGGACTAAGAGACCCTGCAGGCTTTAAACACGCAGCTCCATCATTACAACCCGCTTGTTCTATCGGCTCACCTCGTCTCCATCCCGCCGCTGGACAGGCTCATTCATGTCCTCCTGGCTGCGAACGCTGAAGTTTTGGATGGCCTCAGTGACGCCTTTCAGGGAGCTGTAGATGTCCTCCTCCGTGTTCAGGTTTTCCGGGTCATAATCAAATGCGCTGGGATTGACAAGTTTTTGCAGTTTTTATTGTCTTAGCCATTATTCCAGCCACGGTGCTTTAGTTGAGATCAATGTGCAACTAAAGGTCGTTTTTAGATTATGTCCTCCTGCCCAAGACATTAAGCTTATAGCACATTTTGTATTAAAGCAACTAAAATCTGTGTTACCTTGGTGAGGGGGGGTTTTGCGAAGTGTTGGTTGGTGAGGTGATGGGACTGGACCAGCTGGCTGGAGATCGTGGGGTATGGCGTGTCAGCGGGCTGCCCATTTGTGCCTGAAAAGGTGAAATAAAATGGAAACGTAAAGATGAAGATGAAGCTTTTTCATGGACAACTTAACACAGAGGAATAGGTTTCCATGGACTAACTTTCAGTTTGCTCACTATAATCATACAACATAAACACATTAAAGAAAGATGAGTGAAAAGTACAGCAAACAAAAAATACTTGAAAAATAATTTTTATAGACAACATTTTTTTCCCCCCCATCTGCATTAAAGGAATAGTACACCCAAAACATGATTAGCCTTCATTTTCTACTCACCCCCATGCTGAACAACACTCTGGAGTACTTTTTTGATATCTCAAATGCATCTGGAGATCTGGGAGGCTTCTTGCTGTCTGCTGACATTCAAATAATGGAGGTCTAAGGTGCCCGAGACAGAAAGGTCCATAAAAGTCCACAAAAACGTGTCAATATTCCTCCATACTGCTCGTCCAATGTATTCCAAGTGTCCTGAGTGGGTAGCATCCAGAATTTACTCCAAACGAAGTCATTTAGAATGTTTTTAGAGCATAAACAGTAGTGTATTGGATTTCCTGAAAGCGCGCACATGCGCGTTCACGAAGCTACGGAAGCCGGCAGACCAAACCAGCGCATTCAGCTCGGCAAAGAACTCATGCTCTTCCTCAACACTGAAGTCCTCAGACATTTTTCTTTCGTTGTTTCTTTCTTTGCACAGGTAAACAGCACATTTCTTCTTCTACGCTTGCATTATCGGCAGAGCAGACGCTGAATGCGCACTTTCATCTGGTTTGGTCTGCCGGCTTCCGTAGCGTCGTGAACGCGCATGTGCGCGCTTTCAGGAAATCCTATACACTACTGTTTATGCTCTAAAAACATTCTAAATGAATTCGTTTCGAGTAAATTCTGGACGCTACCCACTCAGGACACTTGGAATACATTGGACGAGCAGTATGGAGGAATATTGACACGTTTTTGTGGACTTTTATGGACCTTTCTGTCTCGGTCACCATAGACCTCCATTATTTAAATGTCAGCAGACAGCAAGAAGCCTCCCAGATCTCCAGATGCATTTGAGATATGAAAAAAGTACTCCAGAGTGTTGTTCAGCATGGGGGTGAGTAGAAAATGAAGGCTAATCATGTTTTGGGTGTACTATTCCTTTAACTAAGCAAAGAACGACACCAAAAAGGACTGCTGGGCAACTCCACTCAGTTTTGTCATTTTATGCTGAAGATTCAAGGTCATCCAGGTCATATTCATTCCGTAAAAGTTTAAAAAACAATCGACTGGACTTAGTTTCCAAGATTTTAAGATGTTTCGCTAACTCTCTAGGAAGCTTTCTCATTTCAAATATCTGAATCCGCAGTGAGTTTGAGTCTTTATAGAGACAAGTCCTTGTATTGCTTGGAAACATGCAAATGGAATTTTATTTTTTTATTTTTTAAACAAGTTATGGGTTGTTAGCTACAAAACAAAACACCATTACATCAATTAAATTCCAATGTTACAGCAAAAAACATTTTATAAACAAAAAATGCTATGGAATATTTAATTAAGATTTTAACTGTACATCTTTATGTTTCATATATTTATGCATAAAGAACAAAAAAGAAAAATCAAAGAAATAAATGTGTATTCCTTGTAATATTTTGCTAAAAAAGCAAGTAAAAGAAATCCACCAAAAGCATCTGGTTGTTGAACCAAACAAAATCTGTCTGCTTTTAAATCAAACCTTTCTGAGGACGGGGTGACTAACCTGACATTAGCCAGGTTGATAACTGAAGTCAGTTTGAATTATACAAATAGTTTGATAGTTTGTGAATTCACAATTCTCTGGCTTCTCTAGCTCAGGTAACTGCTCGTATTGGCACTACACTGCCCTCTTGTGTGCAAACAGTCCAACTACAGAAATTAATTTGAAAAATACAGCTAATAAAGTGCAATGCAGTAAAAAATGTATATGAAAAAATAAAATCAAGTTTTTATTATTGTAGATGCAAGAATGAACACTTTAAGAATGTAATAATCCATTGTAATAAAAATATCTGGATTGCAGGTTAGCCAGAACACAAAGAATCATGCACAGCTTTCTTTTCTGTACAGGTATGAGAGGAGAGACGCAGCTATCGGAGCTGCTCCAGTTTGCCTAAAGGAGTTAATATTTAGATCTTTCTGAGGATTTTTGTCCCTTGGCCATGATGAGACCGATAAGAAGGAACATTAAAGGACTACTAACCCCAAATGTCAGCGGTTTTCTGATAATAAATTTAAAACCTGGAGTCGTGTCTAAAATGAAAACACATTGGGGCTGGTGATTACGATTTTATTTCAATTTTCTTCTGTAGGTAACGCAAACATATATGCATTTGGCTCCAGGGATAAATTGTTGCCTTGAATGCTCTTTAATCAAGACACAATGGTTGGTGGACTTTAACGTTTGCACTTCTACTGAAAAAAAAAAAAAAAAACATTAAAGAAAGAGTCTGCAAACTGAGCAGCCCATGAAAAGGGGCGACAGTATATCGATTTACAAAGGTAGAACCTCCAAAAGTGTTTGACGGTCCAAATGGTGTTGCCTGTAAGCTCACCTGGGCTGTATTGCCTGTGTTTTTTAGATGATTATGGAGCAACTTGGTGGCTCCATCCTGGAAGGTTTTGGGAAGAGCTGCCAGCAGCTTGGTGAACTCTGGAGTGTTGAGCTGGAACAGGGAGATCAGAACCGCCTGTGCTGCCTGTGGAGATGCAAACACATGTAAGAAAAAAAATAAATAAAATATTCTAATCCAAGGACAATAAGACGTCTTAGGGAGAGCAACAGGTCCAGAAAAAGTAGTAATATACCTTTAACCTTTCCTGTTTTTTGAAGACTTAAAACTGGAAATTTCAGTGTATTCTATTAGAAATGCTTTTGATGGAAAAACAAAACGTATGGCACACATTTAAAACAAAAATAAGAAAAGCATCACTAATAATAACACTGCACATCACCCTCAAGAGACCATGCCCACAATGAAAGATGGTAGTGGTAGCATAATGCTGTGGGAATGCTTTTTAAAAAGGATCTTTGATCAAAATCTAGAGCTAAATACAACGCAAGTCTGTGCAAAGACTTCATAAATGATCTCCAACCAATCTGAATACACTTTTTGAGCTTTTATGCAGTTTAAGGAGAAACAAAAGATATAGAAGTGATAAATGGGTAGAGACATACATCAAAACACTTGTTGCCTTACCTGAAACAAAAGAGGTTGCTGCTATGTATTAGTCTATCACACAAAGCTTTTATAAAATTATTCTAAATGTGTGCCTGTAAACTGAGCTAAATGATGCAGAAACACATGGGATGTGGTTTATACTGGTAAATATCATGATAATGTCAAGACTTACAATACATCAAAAGGTAAAGTATGAATTTCTTGTTACTTTGAGCTCATGGGAAACTTGTTGGATAAAAGTTTGTTTATTTAGCTTTTGTAGACAAAAAATATTTGATTAAAATAATTTTTTTTCTAGAAATTGTTTCATGAATTCAACTACTTAGTTGCAGTCCTTTTTTATCTAACTTTAACCTTCGATATTTCTGTCCTGCAATAAGCACCAAATATGTTACACGTAAAAAGAGCCTGATGCATCATTTTTAAATATAATGCTCAAAAAAATAAAAGGAAGACTAAAATAATATTTTGATTTAACACTTTGTTCTGAACAAAGCTGGATGTGCTGACAACAAAATCACACAAAAATCATCAATTGAAATCAAATGTATTGACCAACAGAGGCTTGGATTTGGAGTCGTACAAAATTAAAAGAGGAAAAACGCTACAGTCTGATCCAACTTTGATGTAATGTCATTAAAACAGGTCAAAATGAGGCTCAGTATTTTTTGTTGCATTCAAGTGCCTGTATGATCTCCCTACAACACCTAGACGTGCTCCTGATGAGGTGGTGGATGGTCTTCTTAGGGATCTCCTTCCAAACCTGGACTAAAGCATCCACCAACTCCTGGATGATGCAGATGTGCTCAGCTGGATTCAGGTCTGAGGAACGGGTGGGCCAATCCACAGCTTCAATGCCTTCATGTTACAGGAACTGCTGATACACTGCAGCCACATGAGGTCCATCATTGTCCTGCATTAGGAGGAACCCAGGGCCAAACACACATATTGTCTCACAACGGGTCTGAGGATCTCATCTTGGTACCTAGTGATAGTCATGCTACATCTGACAAGCAGAAGGAAGGCTGTGTGGCCTTTCAAAGATGTGCCACCCTACACTATTACTAACCCACTGCCAAATGGGTCATGCTGAAGGATGTTTCAGGCAGCGGATTGCTCTCCAGACTCTGTCACATGTACTCAGTGTGAACCTGCTTTGAACTGTGAAGAGCAAAGAGCACCAGTGGTGAATCTGCCAATCCTGGTGTTCTTTGGTAAATGCCAAGTGTCCTGCAAGCTGTTAGGCTGTGAGCACAACCCCCCTTTGGGCACGTCAAGCCTTCATACCATCCTCACAGAGTTGATTTCTAACCATGTGTGTAGACACATGCACATTCGTGGCCTGATGGGGGTCATTTTGCAGGCCTCTGGCAGTGCTCCTCCTGTTCCTCCTTGCACAAAGGCAGAGGAAGCGGTCCTACTGCTGGGTTTTTACCTTCCTACTGCCTCCTCTACGTCTCCTGGTGTATTAGCCTGTCACCTGGTAGCAGCTCCAGCCTTTGCACTCTACGCTGACAGACATAGCAAACCTTCTTGCAACAGCTCGCATTGATGCGCCATCCTGGATGAGCTGCACTACCTGAGCCATCTGTGTGGGTTTTAGAGTTCTTCTTATGCTACTATGAGTGTGAAATACCACCAACATTCAAAATGGAACAAAAAATCAGGCAGAAAGCACAGGTACTGAAAAGTGGTCTGTGGTCCCCACCAGCAGAACCACTACTATACCCAGTGCGTCTTGCTAATTGCCCATAATTTCCACCTGTTTGAATTTGAATATCAGCACTGCTTCCTAAGTGGACAGTTTGATTTAATTGAAGTTTGATTTTATTGAAGTCATATTGCATTGTTTATGTTTCTTTTATTTTTTTTAGCAGTGTAGTTTGCAGCAATTTATTGCAGTCCAGTGAGCATGGTAATACTCTATGCAGCCTAAATACGTTTCCAAAACTTAAAGGGATTCTGATAATTTTGCTGAGAGAAGAAATATTTATAGAAATAATAACAGCCCTCAAAAGTGACTTTTGTAGCAAAACATTTGAAAACTAAAACAAAGAATCCCCTCAATCTGTACTTTCAGACTTGGTGAATACAGTCCTTCCACAAGCATGAAGTCACCGCGTGGGTGATGGACGCTACCTTTCTGACGTCTGAGCTCTTAGGTTCAGTCGTCCAGGTGATGATGCGAGAAACGGCGAGTCGGGTCTCACTGGAGTTCACAAAGTCCGGGGCTTCCATCTGCAGCGTCAGCGTCTCGATGTACTTTAGGATGGCCACTTTCACCTGCGAAACAAACACACGTTTACATAGATCACCAAAAGGGTGGCTTAAAGTAGCCTGAATTTACACAGAGATAACATTACAACCACACATGAATATGAGCAGCGCTGTTCAGAGAGAATATAAATCCAGAAAGGATCCTTTAGTGGTCTGAAAATTAAAAAAATTATTTAAAAAATTCATGTGAAAAGATTAAAATAAACAGAATCCATGTTCATGCTTTGCAACGGATGGAGAAATATCAGCTTTAGACCTGATGTCCGATGAGGAAATAATAAATGTCGACATTCACTGCACACGTCACAACTCACTCCTACCCTCATTTCATCCGTCTCTACAACTGCATGTCAAGGGCCAGAACTTCCTCCAAACCACTAAGCAGCGCCGTGCGCGCCACATAATTGCTCCCCCCGGAGCGCACTGACCTGGGAGGACTGGCTCCAGGCTGCGGCTTGCTCGTCTAGAGAGCAAGCGTGGCGCCGCGCTCTGGGGGGAAACAATTTTACCCCGGACCCTCCCCTGCCTCGCCCGCAACACGAGCTCCGTACAGGCTTCGGAGAGAGAGAGGAAAAGCACCGCGTCAATCAACGGGGAGACAGGGGAACGGGGACAGGGGAGGGCAGAGGGAGACAGAGGATGGAAGGGAGTATGGCAGGAGCAGAGGGAGGAATGGGAGGTTGGGACTAGGACTCTATGAGCTTAAATTTTTGATGTTGCAAATCATGTTAAAAAAAATACACCAATCAAGTAAGTTCCTGAATACTTTTGATTTTCTTTGGTGTAATGAATCAATTTCCAGCTTTATGTGCCCTTTTTACCATGTTTTTAACATATAAATAAGAAAAACTACAATAAAACTATAGTAGATATTTCTACAGGATTAAAGAAATTGAGAATAAAACCCCAAAACAGAAATATTATTTTCCCATACTGCTATTTATTGTTGCACTAAACTCTAAACTTCTCCAACTTGTAAATAAACCCTCTGGTCATCTCTGCTAGCCAATCAGAGACGAAGCCTACATGTTGGGCAATGCGGAATTCCTCCAGGCATCCAGCTGAATTTATAACCATGTCTTCTGCCCCATAGAATTAACTATAAAAATATTGTGCAGTGCAGGAGGGGAATCCCCAAGCCAGGAGTTAAGGGGATGAAGCAGATTAGAAAGGTAGGAGATGAAGTAAAAAAGAGAAAAGGAGCAGAGGGATGGGTGGGTGGAATAAGGAAGGACAGGGACACGGAGGTGGAAACTGGATGGGTTTCTAAAAAGGCGTCGTCGTCCAATCACAGTCCAGGATTGAGGGTTTTGGGACGCACAGCCAGAGTGATGGGCAGCTACTGAGTTCTGTTAATCCAAGCAGTGACCATGGCCAATCTTTTACAGCCTCATGTGCATGCTCCCCGTCCACTCAAACACTCCAGCACACATTATCCTAAACCTTCAGTACCTTGAGGCTGGGCGTCTGGGTCTGGTCCACCGTGAACCTCATAAGTATCGTGAACTGGAGGTCATTCGGAAAAGACTCCCTGGAAAAGAGAAAAAAAACAAATAAATGAACCTGAATTCACAAAAGAGAGCAGATAAATAAACCCAACAGAAAAAAATAACCATCAGTTGATAACATTTTGTTAGACTTATTATGAAATTTAAAATGTCAAAATAATTAAACAGATCTTTAATCCCTGTGTGTTTTTTTAGCATCTCTACACTTTTGTTTTTTATTTAAAGTAACCATGATCCATTTATTGGCATTAGGGCGCAACTGTGATGTTGTTCCAGGCACTCTTTAAACCTCTACTGTTCTAAATAAAATTACATTACTGCTCAAACGTTTGGGGTCACTTAGAAATGTTCATTTCCTTTGATAAAAAGCTAAATTTTCCTGAAATAAAATAGGATGAATTTATTTAGAAATACAATCTAGACATTGTTAATCTGGTAAACGGCTGGTATTGCAGGAAATGGCTGTTTTCCAGCAATCTTTACTGCTGCCTTTCAATGGCCACGTTGATCAGGCTTAAAGAATAAAAATCTCACACAGGCTTGTCAACCCAGCTGAAAACTGTTGCTCTGATTAAAGATGGAATAAAATCCAGGATGCAGATAAAGATGGGCTGAAGAACCAAGCGCTGCACAGAGGAAGGTTGAAAAAGGTTTTATGGAGCATTGAGCTGCTCTGATGATAAAGGACATTTATGAGACCCAGTTCAAACGAAAAGATGCTGGAGGAGCGTTTGAAGCCTTATGTCACGCACGATGGAGGAAACATGATGCTTTGGTGTATATAATGAAATTGAATTTAATTGATATGCTGTCTAGGATGGAGTGGGCAGCATGGGCACCAGATCTTAAACCTAAAGAGCTGTTGTGGAAGGAGCTTAGCTATAAGGTGGGTAAGAAGTGCAAATCAAGTCAATCCAACCTGTGGGAGGTAGTTCAGGTAGTATGGGGTAAGATAAGCTCAACAAATTGACAACTAGGAGGTCTACAGGGTCATAATTGCTGCAGATAGAGGATTATGTGATAAAATCAAAGTTTACAGGTCTTACATCTTGCCAAATATACTTTTTTGAGCTTTTACCTGTTATTATGCTCTTCCTTTATCAGAATCACACCCAATGTGGCCCTACCAGCCCCTTCCTGTCCTGGAAAACCAGTGGCTGTCACAGGCCTACGTAGAGCTGTCAATACCCGCCCCCTCCAGCAAGCACCAACCTTCACCGCTCTGTGCCCACACTTGAAACAAACGGCCCCTTTCTCTGACCCGGGATGGGTGATGTAAGGTAGAACCCTAATTATTCTGGCTCTGAGAAGAAGTGGTTAACTTTTTAGCTAATCTGCACAGTAACTGGAATTTTTCTTTTTAGCTATAGTTTAGTCATTAAAATCTGTTTTTTGGCCACTAGATAAGTTGGACTTTGTTCAGCCTTTAGAGGAGGCGGGATAATGGTGACATCAGGAAGTGGACAGAACCCACACAGAGGAGAAGGCTTTGCCTTGAATCATCATATATGTGCCTATATTTGACTTTAAAAGGCTCCAAAAAGAAGAACGCAGAACATTTAAATAAAATATTTCAAATACCAATGATTAATTCCAACCTTCTCAATGTCTTTGCTATATTTTCTATTTATTTTAAAACTCTTAATAAAACTTTTGAGCAGCACTGTAGTTCATTAATTAATCAGTCTTTCATCTTGGGCTCCAGTGTGGGCCTGCATGTGACCTAATGGCTCTACCTCGTGATGTCCAGAGCTCTCTGAACTTTGGCTTGAACAGAGCCCAGCAGGTCTGCTCCCATCTTTTTCAGCAGCTGTGTGAGCAGGACAAACAACCAGTCCTGCAGGTCTTCCTTATGGACCAGGATGAAGTCCACCAGGGTTTCCAGGAACATACTGAACACCTTAACACACACCAACATACAGCGTAAAGGTTAATTTGCCCTGCATTTAGCCATTCAAAAAAAAGCGAGTTCATGCACTGATACACACAGGCGCATGCATACAGATTAATCACAGCTGGGATGGCGTAAAAACAGCATTAGTTCCCATGTTGGAGTTAGTGCTTATCCATTACTGCAGCAGATCATCTTCATTCCCAATCAACGATTCAACATAATCACCCAAAACAACATCAGTTATCTCATTAAAAAACAGATGCAATGAGCTGTCTACTTGATGACAATTAGATCCAGTTAGGTTAAGCGGTAACCGAGGCAACCATCTTGTTGTGCTCGTAGATGATTTCAACCGGACAGTGAGTGTTTAGGCGGGTTAGTGGATGTTAACCTTGATTACCGATCACCAATCAGATTAATGAAGCAGATCTCCACTTTGTTAGATAAAAACAGCAACACTGACTGGCCAAACTTACTCTCTACAGAGAGTTCCAGGGTGGGGGGGGTGGCATAAGGGAGACAGAAACACACATCTGTTAGCATCCTAACCAGATTTGATCTCATTTTGTCAAAGAAAAAGAAAAACGTCTTTGAAACTATATCACATCTGAGGAAACGTTTTGTGCACTTTAATAAACAGGAAGATATGAAACATATGACATGACAGGTAGAAAATAAAATAAATAAAAAAAGAGGGGGGAGATGTAGGAGCAGGGAGGTAGGAGAGACACCCATGATGAGATGCGGTACCTTGAAGGAGGCTGAGCTTATACCGGATTCTGCCGTGCCGTACACCCTGCCGGAGTCTCGCTGAAATTCATCAAATCGTCAAAACGTCAAACGAGTGGAAGGGAAGCGTGAGGCAATGGAGCACTCAAAGCCCCGAAAGGAAGGTGGCAGTGTTAGAGGGAAGGGAGGGGGCGAACCAGAGCTGGTTAGTCAGAGAAGAAGAGCTGGCAGCCCAAATATTGGAGTGTGTGTGTGTGTGTGTGATTGAATTTTATATGCAGTCAGGATTATAAGAGGGCAAACTTTTGGGTGGTGGGGTGGGGGGTGGGGTGCTGAACAGAGCAATCCCAACAGGACGGCGGAGAGTTTCAGGTCACACGGCAGAAAAAAAAAAAAAATCCAACCAAATCAGGCACGGCATGCTGTTAGGAAACAGTCTGCATGCCAGTGTCTATGCTTGGAGTACATCCACTGCTGTAAACACATTTTCTCCTGTTTATCCCATTTTTTAGGTTTCCAGATCGGTGTCTAGTGTGATTGCTGGAGTGAGTGTGTGCACGCTGACAGAAGTACAACTCTGCTTGGGATTTGGCAGAATCCGGTACAGTGGGGGATGGTGGGATAAACAAAGTTAACTGAGGCCGACAGAAAAAATGAAGTGGATGAATAATGAGCTTTATAGTGTGATGAGTGTATTTTTTATGTCTGGGTCATGCACAGATTCGTACCTTACTGTGAGGATCTGCAAACATCCTGGTGAAGATTTCACACAACCTCTTCAGCTCAACCCGACTATTAGTGAGAGAAAAGATAAATAAATAAGATTGACATCCAGATCCTTCTTGAGTTCATCTTTAAAAACACATATGTGTGCGTTCTCCAGCTGACCTGAGTGTGCGCTGGTTCTTGAGCAGCGCTTGTAGGCCTAAAAGTCCTTCCTTCCTCTCAGACCAGTTGGCACTGGCGCAGCGGTTCAGCACCTGGAAACCACATTAAACTAGGCTGAGATCTGTCTATAAAAGTTTAACTTCATTGATACCATAGCTAAATTTGTTCTGCCATCTGGAAAGGGATTTAATTATGTTTTCCCATTTGTTGCATCAGAACCACCATCTGTAACCTTCATAAGAGATTTTATAAAACCTTTTGTTCATAAGATAAATTCTATTTAAGACATATCCATTGCAAGTTGTTGGTAGAAAAATGATAAAAAAAAAAAGATTTTAACTATTAACTATTTAACTAATTCAATAAAATTAGTCAGTGAAGAAAATGCTAAAGCATGCATTTGTTAGTATTTCTATTGCTTAAATTAGCTGGCTGTTCAATATTTTATGCAAAGTGATGAAGAGCTGTTGTTTGTCATCTAAAGATCCACTTATGGTTTCGGCGCCATTGGTTGCAGAGCCCTGAGATAGACTAACACAAAGTAATGAGTTATTGTGAGGTGGAAGGAAAAGAATATTAGTGTTTTTACTGTTTTTTCCTTTTTATAACAAAGAAAAAGGATGCAGAATGAACTTTTTTTCTTTCACTGGAGCTGTTCCTCCATTAACCTTCATATTGCACAATTTGTAACTATGGAAATAAATCTCCTTAATGGAAACACTGCAATTTTGAAGAAAAAAAAATCCAAATTATTATATCAAATTATATACGGCAATGGCAAAACATTTTTCTGCATCCCACAAGTCACATGATCTGCTTCTAGACCTTTATGCCTTGTAAAAAGATGAGGAGTAGTTGGACGATGATGGGGCCCAATAGTCGTGACTGATATATGGATATATATCATGTTTTTACCTCTGCCATAGTGTTTTCTGTGTGAACGTTATTCCTGTGCAATTTTTATTGTATTTCTTATTAAACCGAAAAACCGCATTTCCGAAAATTTGCCTATCCAAATGAGCAGAAAATTGTCAAAATTTTGTGTACATTAAAAAAACAAAAACAAAAAAAACCATGCACGTTGTTATAGTCACAATGTAGACGAATAAGTTCATTTTTGGTCTTATGTGACCACCTATAGTAAATGTCCGATACGTGGACCTTTTGAGGGTTTCTTTTGAGAAGCATCCTCCATTATTCAGAGTTTTGTAAAACTGACCAGCAAGAGATTCTTCCACATGAGCTGCAGACCTCTGCAGCTACTCTGAAGTTACTGGCCTTTTAGGTGGGTATCACTGTCTTTGTTAAATTTGTCCAACCTCAGTATTTGCAGACGATGCATTAAACAATCCTCCATGAGAAGCTTTGGGTATTGTTTGATAATCTAATATTCTTCCTGATCTGCTTGGTGTTTTCCTTGGTCTTCATAACCTGTTTGTTCAACATTCAGTTAGAGCAAACATGAATTTTTATATTTTACTAGTATTTTAATTCCAATTCACAACTATTTGCATTTTCCAGCTGGTCTAAGGCTAAAATCATTCTTCTCCTACTGCTGACCTCAGCCACATCTTCAGTTTGCCTCATGTAGGTGGGGATGGCTCCTCCGTTCCTCGAGCTGTAGGACCTCTCGGAGCAGGCGCTGGATGCGTCGCTGTTGGCGTCGTCATCAGAATACATGCTGTAGTTCTCATACCGCCGCCGTGCTGGCTTCTTCTGCACGAAAGAAAGAGTGAATGTAGAGGGATAAAAATTTAAATCTCAAACGGCAAAAAAATATATATATACACACAAACTAATCCTGAAGGAGAATGCAAGCACATCTAAGAGACAAACGAAACAAAACAACACACTGTTATGATCCAGGAGGACAACCTGACCTTAGATCGCATGTCTCCCAACAGCTGATAGCATTAAACAGAGGTAAAAGCAGGGATTAGTGAACATGCAGACATGCACCCAGAGAAATGTGAGCCGTCTCATTTATCACTGTGTTGAAGGAATTGGCTTCATTTTCACATTTGCGGATGTACCGTACGTACCAGCGCATCTGCGAGTGCCTCTTCTACATCCGAGCCAGTGTTGAGGACCTTCATGGCACTGACTGAGGAAGAAAGACGGCTGGAATGACTGATGCCATAACCCGATCCTGCAGATCGAGAAACAGTTAAAGAGAAAGGAGGGAAGATCTATTAAAAACGTGTACATGGCAAGTTAATAAACCTCTCTGCTCTCTGTCTTCAATTACGGATCCACAAATGATTCTTTTTCTCATCAACACCAACATCCACACAACATCACACTCATCATCATCCTGAGAGTCAGTCCTGTAGGTTAATGCGATGACTTGTTAGACGACATTGGACTTGTCACTGGAGGAGAAAGGATGACTTAAAAGGACAAGAATGCATGTTGGTGCTCCTGCAGACAGGGGTCAAAGCTAAAGAAAAAGAAAGGAATGAACAAAACTGGAAAAAAACGGTTATTAAACTGGAAACTGAACGGGCGGAAGCATGCGATTCCACTGGAGGGGTTCAACATCCTAGAGCAAAACATTCAAAAATAATAATAACAATGAAAAATAAAGATCAATGACAAAGAAAAGTATGAGTAAAAGAAACATAAAAAGAAAAATAGCGAGTGGCCAAGAAGGTGGGGGGATGAAGGGCAAAGAAATAGATGTACTCAGCCTTCACCTGCAGCCCCAAAAGCGTCAGGTGTGTGGAGTGCTCCGGTGGAGCGGGAGTAGCTCCTAGTGGCTGTAACCAAGATTAAAACACACACACAGAGTTTAACAGCCACTCAAGCAAACAAGTAAGAACCAGGCAGGAACGTCACACTTAGTGCAGCATGTGAACAAAGAAGGAAAGGCAGCTAAACATAAACACGTCTGTTCTCCTGCTTTACTCTACCTTTAAACCATTACATTTAAACTACAAAACAAAGTTCTGCAAAGTTATTCATACGGCCTAAACTTTCTCACATTTTGAATGTTTATTTATGGAAGATTGTATGTGGAACTCCAACATAATGGAAAGTCTGCATCTAGTTGGTGATTTTTTTCAAGACTCAAATATAAAATCTGCAGCAGCTGGCTTTAAGAAGTCAAACAACTGTAAATGGAGTCAACCGTTCATTGTGAAGGTTTATTAGTGAGTGTTAGTGAGCAAAAGGCATCAGGAAGACAGCAGTGGTGTAGCAGTTTGAAGTTATAACCAATTAAAATCGACAGAGCAGGAAACTGCTGCAAACCCATCAAGACATGGCTGGCATTCATCCTACACTGACGGGCATCAATCAGAAGCAGCCAAAAGGCTCATGGTAACTCAGGAGCTGCAGAGAGCTACAGCTTAGGTGGGAGATTCTGACATGTATAAAACAGTAAAGGAAAGAAACTTTAATTGGCTGCAAAAAATCCATGAGAGGAAAAATTTGCTACAAGTAACGCAGAGGATCCTTAAGGGCTGACATTTGCTTCCGGAAGACGTTTCCAGAGTGGACTAAGATGGAAACGCAGCATCATGCTGTAGGCGTGGGAATTTTTCGCATCCTTTATAATTATCATGATGAATTTGTATTTATTATAGAAATAGATTATAGATTTATCGCCTAAACGATAAAGTTATAGTAATGATTTAAATAATAAAAAATGGATGATTTTGATTTTTTTTTTTTTAATATCTCTCTTCTTTTTCTTTCATATTTTTTCCATTGGGGCACTGGCAAATTCAAAGAGTAGGAGTAAATGTGGTTAATACATCTACTGTTATAAATCGCCCTTTTTAAAAAATTTTTTATTTAACTGGAGTCTTAAAGAAGCCTATTTTAAATCTGTATTTCTTTGGCCCTGAGCAATATTTGTAATCATAGAGCTATGGTTGCTGTAGCACGTAGTCATCGCTATAAAGTTACCTCTACTTCAAAGAATGAATTAATAGTGTTTTATTGTAAATTTGATTGATATCAAGATAGAACCACAAAAATTGTGAGAAAAATTTGAGGCCACATTGCCCAGCCTTATCATTCTTTAGCAATATGATGGAAAGATAAATGCAGCTCAATGAATGACCAGTAATCCCACCATCAATCCATCCATCTGACTCTCTGAGCTTCCATCCATCCAGGGCTGAATACAAATTCACGGAAGATTAGGGACGGGATTACCAAAAAAAACTTTACACAACTGTTTCAAAAATAAAGGAAAAAGTTTAGCCCTTATAGCCTCCTATAACTACTATTACTTTATTATTTGCTGATGAATGTTAATATAATGCTAGTATCAATATGTTGCTTAACTACACTCATGTAATTCAAGTACCAGTATAAAGTGTTTTTTTTTTAAATAACAGTAATCCAGTTTGAGGTCTGATGGGATTGAAACTAAAATATTCGATTCTAAAGTTTGAGAATTAAAATTGAATCTTTTTTTGAAATTTCAACGGATACCAAACTCTACGGCAGACATTTTCTTATTGCAAAACAGAAGGAAATTTTTGAAAACCTGTATATCTTTCACCAACTCTCCTGAATTAAAAACCCTACTTTTTTCGCTTAATCACATAAAATCTCCCCCAGAAATACATGACAGATTTTCTTCACAATGTGAAAAAGTTTAAGGCGTAGGAAGACTTTTACAGTGCTCCCTATGTACAGGCTAAGAACTCAGGCTATGAGCTAAAGATGCTGCCATGTCTGAAGACTTGCTCGTCTTACTCCTCCATGCGCCTTCTTTCGTGACAGCTGGCTGCTACTGCTACTCACCAAGAGGTGTGAAGGAGCGTACGGGGCTGGTGTCCCGGCTGCTCTCCCTGCTGGCCTCCCTGCTGCAGCCCTGACTCATACTGGGCCGAGGGATACGACTGCCTCGAGCTAAGGCCACCCAACCGTACATCCAAGGACAGGACAGGAGAGCAGCGGAAGAGAAAGTGGAAGGGAGGAAAGTGGTTTAAAGAAGACAAAAAATATTGACAAAGAGAGAAATCCAAACAGAAAAAGGGAAAGAGTATAGAAATACCCGAATTAAGATAAGAGAAAATGAGACAAAGATACCAAGAAACCATGAGCCAGACTGACTGGTCCTTAGAAAGCATCTCAACGATATCATCTCCATCTCAAAAGACTGAGATTAACACCACTTTAAACATTTCCTTCTGTTTAACCAAACTTAAATATCTTAATTTAAAAAAATTACGAATTATTGTAGGATGATGTAAAAGCAAAGGTTCAATTTTTAAACTATTGCATCAATTCAGAAACTGCAGACGTGGCGATCAAACAGTTGATGCTGTTAAAACACATTATGCTGGGCTGCACTCTAGAGCCTCATGATGCGCCATGGCTGCGGCAGCATCATGCTGTGGGGGAGGCTTTTCTTCAGGAGAAAAGCTCAACCAGAGTTGATGGGAGAATAAAGATGAGATGCATTTCTAAGAAGCAAAAAGCCTGCAGAGGCCGGCGGTCAGACATTCAGAGAACGGATCTCTTTTCCCCTCATTAAACACAAAGATTAGGAGAAAACAAAGAAACGAAAGTGGCATTCAAGGTGGATTTAGCAATGAAAGCAAGTGGGTGAGAGGATCTTCTCTGCTCACTGTTTTGCTTGTCCTCAGCATGTACTGCGCCATCCCTGGGCAATCCAACCTAGGATGATCCTGTGAGCGCTTATCAAACAGCCACTAATGCTGGTGATTAGTATGAACAGGAGGAAGGATGTCCATAAGGTATGGTCATCTGGCTATGTGGCGCCCATCACCACAACAAACAGCCATGAAGCCAGAGTAATTAGAGAGAGGAGGTCTATGAAGCTGAGCCAGCGGACTGGGATGCTGGATGATTCAAGATGTGCATAGATTGGTTAGGAGGGTCTGATCAGAAGTAGAGCCTTACCTCCTCTGCTGGCACCGTTGTAGTTTGAACTAAAGCTAGAAGGAGCTAGAAGACAGAGGAAGCAAGGGAAGGAGGAGAAAATGAGACTGAGCGGACTAAAACAACGAGTTGAGCTTCATATCTAATCCCGTCAGTAAACTGTCACAGAAAACAGCATAAACATGTCAGACTCACCGACAGAGAGCCGAGTGGGCGAAGAGTCCCTAGAGCAGCCCTGGCTGCGGGGGATGCGGCTGCGTCTGTGACCGTCCCCTGCGGCTCCGGCCAGCACCCTGTGAGGCCCTGAGCTCATGGTGCTCAAAGCTGTGGTGGTCAGCACGCGACCAGGAGAGCCACTCCGACTGCCAGCTTCAAGAGAGGGAAGGAGGGCAGAGAGAGAAGAGAGGCAAGTCAGAGCTCTGTCCATTCAGTGGTAGGCTTTATAAAAGCTATCCCACTTTCAATATTGTAAATGTAAACAACAGCTTCTCTGCACTCATTGTCATCAGAGGTAAAGATGTGTAAAAAACACTTAAAATAAATCGGTGTAAGCAGGGATGATTGAAAAAAGAAAATCTCCAATGTTAATTTTTACATCCAATTGTTAAGACAAAAGGTTATTTTGGAATTTTGTCAGAAAAAAAATACGTAATTTTGTTGATTAATTGCTAGTGGAACTTAGACAGGATCTGTTCCCTCTAGTGGAAGGAGACCACTTCAAGAAGGTCTGGGGCTAAAAAGAATGAACAGTAAGGTGTAGGATGTGTTATGCTGTGGGCCAGTTTCTCTTATTTTAAGCTGTGAACTGGAAATTTCTGTAAGATAATATTCACTAAACACAAAGAAATCAGCACAGAAAATAAATGCACTCTCATTACCTTAACTTAAAGGGGACTTACGATACGGTACTTCTTAATAAACATTTAGGTCTGCTGCCAATAAAAAAACATCTTAATTAGTTTCCTTGCACTAAAATCCCTCTGAGGGCTTTATCATGTTTATATAAATAGGCTGTAGCTCTGAACATTACCCAACTCAATATTTACACATTTAGACTCACAATATAGATGCAAGAATGTTGGATCTATATCTATATTGGAGGAATGGCGGCCTAGTGGTTGGGGCATAGAGCTTGGAATGCTGAGGTTCTGAGTTCAAGCTCCACTTCCACAGACTGCTACTCTGGGACTCTGAGCAAGACCCTTAACCCCACACTGCTCCCCGGGTGCCCCACGATGGCAGCCCCCTGCTCCCCAAGGGGATGGGTTAAATGCAGAGGTAAATTTCTCCAATGTGAGATCAATAAAGTTCAATTATTATTATTATTATTATTAAACAAACAATCAACAAATACGACTGCAGGTCTTCGACCCATGTGCTGAAGAAGCGGAGCTTGCTGGACAAGCAGAAAATAAACAGCAAGCAGTTCCTGAATGGTAAGGAACCTATTCCTTCTGACTGATTTTCTTCCATATACAGAGAAGAAGTGGAGGAGTTTGATTTTTTTCTCCCACAGATTATCAGCGTCATGTTAGACACAGCTAAAGCAAAAAAAAAACTTCTTTTTTTTTTTTAGATCTATCCAGCAGCTTTAAGGAGACCTTTGCTGTGGGCGTCCACTCTCTGATGGAGCTGAAAGGTGCTATGTAGTGAGAGCAGTCGGTGGAACCAAATTATTTCACTGCTGGAACCGACCGATTATTCAATCATTTTTAAAGGTTATTTTTTTCTGACCATGATGCTAATGGGAGTGGCATTGTGTGTTGGTTTACTTGACTCTTGATATCTTATCATCCTCTGTGATCTGCTTTTTTTTAAATGTCACTTATGCTGTGAATTGATGCATTTTGCGTGCTTCACCGCTGAGGAATCTTTCCATTGCTAGATGCAAACTTCACAGTATTCTTAAATACTGGTGTTCAGGATTTGCTGCGGCGCTCAGCAGTGTGAAGGAAAGAGGGAGATGCTCTGCAGGCAGGGGGCTCTACAGGCTGCTCCGATCCGTGACAAAGGACAGCGATCGGTGATCATCCATCACACTTTTTGATGTAAATCGGCCGATTATGATCGGTGGCTGAGCTAGTGGCACACCACTAAATGTAATCAGTTATATTTTACAGTTTTACTTTGCATGGGTAGGTAGGTGAGGGGATAGGCTCAGCTCTGGTCAGTACATGAGGAGCAGTGCCCTCCGTTTGTGATGCAATATTCAGCAGGTTTGTTTTCTAACCGGCTCATTTTCTCAAAAATCTTGGATTGTTTTAGGTTTTTTTGTTGGTGCTTGGGCTTTTTCTATGACCAAAAGTGACCAAAACGAAAGGACAAAGACATGGAAAAAAAAAAAAAAAAAACATTTTGCAAAATAAGTCCCCTTTTAAGTCCTGACAGAAAAGCTACAGAGAAACACAGTACAGGTGAGCAGGGAAAACATCCCTCTGTCAAAGCTCCACCCTTCCAAAATGTCAAAAATGATTTTGCGTTCTTCAAAGTTTACAGGAGATTACTCATGTGCCATGAAAGCTACAGTCATTTTAAGGCTTTTCACACATCTTTACAACAGGTGCCAGTAGGTGCACAGGATATTGTGTCTTATAAATATAAAAGCTTCCATGAATACTTTTAGATAACAACAGTGTTTAACGTGATTGGAAAGAGGATTCCTGGGGTTAGCAGAGCTACATTAAGTTAACAATGAGATAAGAAATGATCGCAAAATCCTTCGTCTGAATAAAAATACATCAGAAATGTTACACTTCTTAAATCATCCCATTACATTCAAATTCAATATACTCCAAAGATATAATGAAACTGAAGACTTTAAAAACCCTATGATAACGGTTATGTTACAATCCAATATCCTCTTTCCCCTGGGGATCCAGTCTCCGAGTGCTCAGCCCACACAGTGTTTAACTCGACTCGCTGTACTACAACCCGTGAGACAAACAGGTGAGGGTCTAAGGTGCCAGTGTTTGGTCTTTAATCTCATAGTAAACTCTGATAATGGAAGCACACAACAGGCTATCTGTGTGAAACACAGAAACTGATCTAAATCCACACAAACACACACAACAGTGATTCAAATTAGTGCTAATAAACACCAACAAACACACAACCTACACATATTAAAGACAAAACTATGTGCATACAAGCTCAGATGTCACATTTCCTACTATTTCATCAGGTTACTTGATTGTGTTTTTAGTAATTTATTTATACTAAAAGACAATGATATGAGAGAAAAAAAATGTAAAAATAAATAAATAAATCGTTAGCCGTTCTAAACAGAAGTGGGTGCAAATATTAAGGCTTTTGAAAGCAATAACATTAACTTAATTTGCAACTACATATCCCAGCATGCCTTAACAGCAGTGCAGAAAAATTAAAGCAGTCTATCATGTGAGTGTGAGTAAAAAAAAGGGAAGCAAAGGAAACCAAACGGACTAGAGTTTAGAAAAGAAAAAGAAGCAGTGCTGTAGCCTTACCACCAACAGGGTTAGCAGACTGAGATCCTGATACATTAAGCCCATTGGTAGAGGGGAGGGGGTTAAAGAGGGAGGCCAAGGAAGAGCAAGTTAAACCAGATGAATTATGGGTTAATGCAGAAGCGTTATGGAAGCAGAGCTTAATGGAAGCGCATCCCTGTGTTTCAAAGCAGCAATGTTAGAGAAGCTTCAGCATGTTAGTCAAATAAGTTCAAGGGAAAACAAGAGCAGAGACAGAATGAACCAGCTGCAGATGGTTGACTGGGAAGAAGCAGTGCATGTTTGGACAACCTGTCACAACAAGGACATTCAATTCTCTCTCACATCAGAGAAAAACCTTCAAACCTTGTTTTATAGATCAGAATGAGTCCTGTCTACCAGCAAGTACTTTCAAACTGATCATTTTTTAATTTCTAGCTAACAATTTGAACATCTCTTGTCTTTCACCTAAAATCCACTCAGTTCCCTAGTTGAAACTGGACAAAATAGCAAAAATGCTTAAGAGATTAATGCTTTCCCAGTGCTAAGGTAGTCTTCTTAAATCCACGCTAATGCTGCAGAAAAACTACATGTTAACCACACCAACATCAGTGATGAGACACCGCATGCAGAGGGAAATACAAACACTCTGCTTTGTATGAAACGCCTGGATCAGAATGAAAGCAGTAGCGGGTGGGCCACCAATCCCCACTGTGGGACACAAAGACAAGCACACTCTGACAAACAGATAGAATACCTGGTGTGCAATCGGATTCGTCGGAACCTGAAGGCACAAGAACATATACAAGGGGCTTATCGTAACCATGACGGCAACAGACTGTGAAACTACACAATCGGAGCCTTAGAGGGAAGGAAACACGGCATATTCCTCACACTTCATCACCTCTGTAACGTCACAGATAGCTTCACTCACATTGGGCTTTAAACTGAATGGGATGGAAAAGAACTTACGCTGGGACTGGGAGACCATCTTAGTGCGGCTGCGCCCTCTAGAGTCCACCTGGCTCGACACGCTGCTGGCGGTCGTCAAGGGCTGCTTTGTGCGAGCTCGGCCTGCTTGTAAGAAAGGAAAGCAACCATTTATTTCTATAAAACACTGCCTGCAGCAGAACAAAACCCAAAGCAAGAAGCAACAGCTGAAATGTACACATTTAAACATTCTCATTTAGCTAGCGGCAGATGCATATAGCAAGGATGATTGAGCTGCAGATAAAAAAATGACCTGAAACTGATTGAAAAGCTACAAACTACTGCAACATATGAGGATGATTTAATCAGTAAATAACCTTAAAACACACCATTATGAAAGTGTTGCCAATTATTTTTATTGTTAATAGCAGAAAATTAATTTTCAGGATTCTGAGAGATTCCCCTTTAGCTATATTAGTTATGTAAGAGAGAAGAACTACGACACCAGCTTAAGCAGTTACTATTTATTATTCATTTTTACACTATGAAAAAAGGAGAAAAAAATAAAATTGGATCTCTACGAACAAAAGTAGAAATAAGCAGTTAATTTAACTGGGGCTTCCTGCTAAATCGTCCCTAAAACACCATCAAAGAGGCACCTGCCAGTGGGAGCAGATTGTAAATCTATGGTTCCACCTTCTCTGCTGTACGTATAAGACGTCATATGGTGTCACGACACATCCTGCCTGTCCCAATAAAAATAGAAAGGACTGACTGGTGCCGTTTGATGCAACTATTAAGGGGTTAGATTTCTCTTATAGGTTAAATATCAAAAGCGGAAGATAGCTGCCATGTATACAAGATGAACAGCAGAGGGCGCTGTGGGCAAGCTAGTTTAAATGGGTTGGGATGAAATGATTGAAGGGGAAGGCCGAATGAGGCAGAGTGAGATGATCTTACCATCCGTTTTATCAGAGGCATCATCTTAAGTAGCAAAGAGAGACGAAGAGAAAAATAGAGGAAAAATATATCGATACAAACATAAAAGATTAAGAATTGAAAGAACAAAAACAAAGGATGTGAAAACAAGTGGGAAAAAAACCAATTGAGGTCAGAAAAAAAGGCAGATAGAGGAAAAAGAAAGAGAGGAACACAAAGTTCATTAGTAAAAGACCATTTGATCAAAGAAAGCATGGTGCAGATGTCCGTTACAACAGCAAACCTTTCTTTTGTGACAGACCAAGACAAACTAGAGACTGTGGAATGGAAGAAAAGAGATCAATGTTTTTTTTCCAAATGTGTGACTGTAAATAAAAAAAGCTGATATAGAAACTGATATCTATGCTCATTCCTCTTTGTAATTTAGCCCAAGCTCAGTCTTACTGGTTACGTGATGATTAGAAAGAGCCAAGCCTGCTAAATATGTCCTTGTGGTTTCAGGTCTGGCATGGTGACAGACCATAACACCAAAGCATTTATTTCTAGCCCTGGTTGTGTTTAGGATCCTGCAGGAACATGAAACCTCTACTGTAACCTGCCCTGTATTTAGCGCCACCATTTATCCCCTTAGAAGCTTAGAGCTAAAGAATGCATCCCCACAGCATGATGCTGCCAACACCATGTGAATGACAAGGAGGATTTATTAAAGGATCATTGCATAGTTGTTTTGTGTTGAACTGGACCTCTTACAGCCCAATTTTCACATAAGCTCAATTTACAGCTCTTGCATTACGGGAGGATTTTTAGTGTGAACTACTGATTATTATCTGGTGCCTAATTATTTTTAGGCACCAGAAGTTGCAATTCTCTGCTACAGCTTAGCTACTATTGTCTGCTTCTTTGTTTAATGCACTCCTTGCCAAGTCTTGCCAAGGTGGGCGGCCATGTTTTGGTAGGTCTGCAGTTATTCCATACCCTTTCGTTGATGTTAAAACTGGGGATATTCATTTATCCCCCAGCTCTGCTTAAACCTTCCCCAAACTGTCCTGTTGTGTTTCTTGGTCTCCATAATGCTGTTTACAGATATATTATTGATTATATTAATGCAAATGCATGACAAACTTTTCGAATACTTCAACCTTTTTAAAATCAGGTCCCTTATCTTTCACTCCACAGACAGAGAGTTTACGCTGGTTTATGACATTAAAACAGATTACATATTGTAGTTGTAATGCAACTAAGTGTGAAGAGGTTTAATCAAACAGTGCAGGCATACAGTTTGAAACAAAGAAAAGTAACACAGGAGGATAATGTTGGTCTACAGAACATGCACTGAACATCAACAGGTGAGCGGGCAGGTGGAGAGAAGAGGAAAGGCGGTTTAAGCACCGAACAGTGAGAGTGAGCGGCTTCATCCCTGAGCTTTAATGGATTTTATCTGATTAACAACCTACCTACCCCCTGTAGTGATCTAAAAGCCTCCTTAGATTGAGATTTCATCCTTCTGCATCATTTCCTGCTAAGCGTGTGCTGACCAAAGCCTGCACTGTCTGATCAGTCATCTAACTTTCCTGACAAAGCCCTTACCCAGAGAGGAGTAGGAGCCGGGGGGCAGACGGTTCGCTCCCCTGGTTTGTCCGACGTTCCGGTATTTAGCAACCGCTGCTGCGTTCACATCCACATCGCTGCGGGAACGCTGCAGGGACACTGACGAAGCCCCGCCCCTCGTACTGGCAGAGACTGATGAGACGGCAGGAGCAGGGTGGGTGTTGATGGGAGAAATAACGGGATGGGGGGTGACGGGATATACAAAAAAAAACAAACAAAAAAAACAAAAAACATCACAAACACATGCAGGCACTGTACCACACATACACCACAGCATACAGAAACACCAGTAGACATACAGCACAGTGTATGAGTCCAACTGTGTAATAATAGAAAACCACATGTGGAGGCGAGCGCTTTCAGCTGGACGCAAGATGATGGAGATGAAAATGATGTGAAAGGATTTTGAAGGAGCTGATATTTGCCTCACTCTACCTGTGTGTGTGTGTGTGTGTGTGTATGTGTGTGTGTGAGAGAAATCTGAACATAAGTTTGGGTTTTGACTGAGGCTGCTCTGTGAGGCTGTTTGACTCACCTCGACCTGGACCCGCCGACCACTTGGAAGTCAGAGGACGGCTGAGGAAACAGGGAGGAAACTGGGTTAGAGCGCAAAAAAACAACAGTAACAAAACCATCAAAATACTAAATCCCCTCTAAGCGGATGGGGGGAAATACAGCCGCCCTGTAACATTATGCTCCCCATCTTCTACTTCCTTAAATTTAAACACAGGCTGTCGTATCCTACTGGAGAAATATATATATAGATTCTACTAACACAAAATATGACATTTCAAGTGTTTTTTTATGTACATTTTCATAATTATGAATTATAACTAATAAAAGAACGGATTTAAATTGTGGATATGACCATTAAACACGTTTTTAAATTAAGAAACTGCCCGTTACTCTAAAAAAATAATGACAGCTGATTTGATGGCTGTCCAGCAGACAGTCACCTGCACCATCTAAGAGGGAAAAGTCAGCCACTACAGATGATTCCTGCATTCGAGCATAAAACATACACAGGCAACATGGATGACCGAAGCCCTCAACACATTATGAAGCAACGCCCATTAAAGTTTAGTGGCGGTTACCATAAACCCCACAGCAGCAGCTACAGCTCTCTGCTTTTCTTGTGTTAAGTCACTTTTGAACCAGAGATGATATCAGAAGCTCCTTATCCAGGGTTTATACTTGAATGAGTAACTCTTATTTAATGCTTTTTTAATGCTCTTAGAAATAATCTTAATGCCATCAACAAGTTCCCATGACTTATGTATATGTATGTATATGTATATATATATA